CGCATACTTAGCAACTTAGTCCTGCCTTGTACCACCCTGCCTGCTCCGTCCGTTCAGCGGCCTGCACCATGTCTCCCATCCGACCCATCCTACCATCGGTGGCTGGTCTTTCAGCCTCTCTGCCCCCAAACTCTGGAACTCCATCCCACGGTCCCTTTGCCTCACTTCCTCCCTTGCCTCCTTCAAGGCCGGTCTCAAGACCCTTCTCTTCGATCGTGCCTTTGGTCACCCTCCCACCTCTCTGCCTTCCCTCACCCCTATACCACACCTCCCCCATGCTCGGGCCCCGACACCTGACTGTTCAGCGCTTTGGGACATCCTCCTGACATGAAAAGCGCTCTATAAATGTAATTTTGTTGCTGTTGTTGTAGATAGTGACCCGTGTGGCTGATTGGGAGATAGAGGGGTTGGGAGATGGGGAAGAGGGGGAGGCGGGACAGAGAGGGGGAAGGGGGACACTCTCCTTCTCTCCCCCTCTCTCTCACTCTTGCATACACCCTCCTTTGCATTTATATAGCGCCATTCACACGGCGTAGCGTGCCGGAGTACTTCACAGTGGCGGAGTCTGACAACGAGCCAATGGGGAGAGGGAGGGGGGAGGTTACAATAAGCACAATCAAAAGGAAAGGTCTTTTGGTGGGATTTGAAGGTGGGAGGGAGGGGCAAGGCAGAGGGATCAAGGGAGAGTTCCAGAGTTTCGGGGCATAGTGGCTGAAGGTACGGCCACCGATGGTGGAGCAGAGAACATGAGGGACAATTAGGAGGCTGGATCCAGCCAAGGGGAGGCAACATGTGGTGGAGTGAGGGGTAAGCAGGTCAGATAGTTAGGGAGGTGCGAGGGAATGAAGTGATTTGAAAACAAGTGATAGGATCTTGAAGTCGATCTGTTTGTTGATTGGGAGCCAATGGAGCCTGGCAAGGCCTGTTGTGATGGGGGTATGGAGTTTCATGCGGGTGAGTATCTGGGCGGTGGAGTTTTGAATGAATTGGATATTGTATATGGTGGAGCTGGGGAGACCAGCGAGGAGGGCATTGGAATAGTCCAACCGGGAAGTAACGAAAGCATGGACGAGGGTTTCGGCTGCATGGGTTTAGAGGCGGGCAATGTGGCGGAGGTGGAAAAATCCTCAATTACTCTCTCATTCCACTTCTCAAACTCTCTCTTCCCTCTCACACTCCACCTCCACCCTCTCAACCACTCTCTCCCCTCTCTCCTACACAGACTCTTTTTATGCCCTCTCACACTCTCAATCACCCTCTTTCAATCCCCCTCCCTCGCTGTCCCCCCACCCACCCCCACCAACTCTCTATCCCTCTCTCCCCCTGTCCTTCTCTCTCCCTCTCAATCCCTCTCCCCCATTCAGCCACGTGTGTCACTATCTGGACCACGTTGGATATGGCCCGCGGACCTTTCCCAAATAGGGAATTTTGTCCATGGAAGCCAAAAGATTGGACCGCCCTGCTGAACATAAAATACGCAAGAATGGGGACGAGCTCCCTCGGGTAACTGCTCCCTGTAGATAAAAGTCAGCAGAACCCAGGAGGGGATACCTGTGGAGTGGGTTGAGGCCTTGTCAATATGTATATTGTATTGTTTGTTGTGTTCAATGGGAAATTTCCAGGTGCGTGTAAATGTTTTTTTATTTATACTGTACCCTCAGTAAATATATATCTATATGTAAATTATAATGGGGAAAGTTCATACTTGTCCTACTGACGTAATGGCAGATTCACAAGCAGTTTGGAGTCTCACACATACTGCCACTATTGAACATTTAATCACCATGTGGACACACTCACAGATGCCCTCAAGTAATATAATACAAAATTACATTTGTATAGCGCCTTTCACGTTGGGAGGACGTCCCAAGGTGTTGGAAAGTCATGGATTTGGACCTGAGCAGGTACGAGGGGTTGGAATCACAGAGGGTGGAGGGCAGGGAAGATGGCTGAAGCGTGGACGAAAAGGAGGGTCTTGAGAAGTGCCTTGAAGGAGGCAAGGGAGGGAGAGAGGCGAAGGGAACGTGGGATGGAGTTCCAAAGGTTGGGGGCAGAGAGGCTGAAAGTGGCAGAAGAGGTGATGTTGCAGAGGTGGGGGAAGGCAGAGCGGGTCATGGCACGGTTGTGGGGTAGAAAAGACAGTTGAGGGTCAAATGAGAACACCAAGGCTCCGGACTGGCTTAGTGAGGTGGAGTGTGTATCCTTGGATGGATGATGCTGTCAGCGCCTGAGGTAAGGAGGCGCTGATGGGAGCCAATCAGGAGGGCCTCGGTCTTGTTGACATTCAACTGTAGAAAGTTAGCTCTCATCCACGCCAGTGATCCTGGAGTCAAGGGTGGAGGCAGAGAGATAGTTGGGTGTCCTCCGCATACATGTGGAAGTTCAGCCCATGTTTACGGATGATGTCACCCAGAGGGAGCATGTTCAGGTTGAAGAGGACCGAGGACAGAGCCGAGGAACGCCGCACGAGTCTGTGCGGGGGCTGGAGGAGAAGCCGTTTGTGGAGACAAAGTGAAGACCTTCCTCTTTAACTGTATCTACAGTCATCTTCTCCCTCTTGTTGATTCAGTCAAACTCCCCCACTGTTAAGCCCTCTGAAATACTACTCCACCTGAATGGTGCTGCATAAATGCAAATTGCTGTTGTTTGCACAAGTAATGTCTAATATTCACACAGTTGCTATGTCCCATTGGCACTGTATTCAACAATTCACATCTATATTTTCAAGATTTGAAATATTAATATTTTACATCAATCTTAATTAGAAGGCAAAGTTAAATGAAAGTTTAATGAGTTGTAAAATATAGTAAACATTTACACTTTGATAGGTGCTTGGTTTATTCCAACATCTTATCTTTCCCTTAAAGAATCTTATGATTATTCCACAACTGATCATGACCAAACTGGTTTATTAGATATATTTGTGTGAATCAGATAAAACTGCTTAAAAAGGGAAGGAAACATATTTTTTAAAAACAATCATAATTTTTTTGAGGGGCGGTGTGGGTAGATGTCTGATACTTTATGCATTTATGTAGCACTATTCAGGTGGGGTAGCATTTCAGAGTGCTCAACGGTGGGAAAGCTTGATGCTGAGTCAACAAGAGGGGGAGGTGACTGTAGATACCGTTCAAGGGGAAGGTCTTCAGGTGCGATCAAAAGATGGGCAAGGAAGAGGCAAGGCAGAGGGATTGAGGTAAATTGAGGCTTGCATTATAATAATAATCTCACATCTTCAAGACATCTCAAAGCACTTGACAGAACATACTGTAGTGAATTGACTGTATATGTTGTGGGGGAAACGCAGCAAATTGAGCACAGCAGTGTCCCAAAAACAATCGTGGATTGAGTGACCACATTTTTTTTTGAAGGGATTATTACCACTGGAAAAGCAATCTGCCAATCGACTAACATCCAGGTTCCTACTTACTGCTAGGTAAACAGAGGTGTGTGGAGTAAGGAAACGTACCCATGTTTGCACCTGCCCAGGAATCAAACCCAGGTCCCTTTGCTTGTGAGGCGAGGCTTTAATAACTAAACTCCACAATCGCTGTATTAATATCTATCTCAGCACGTATGGGTTTTATTGTAATTGGTTATAAATAAAAATAGTAATTATTGGTCTATAATTTGCAGGTGCATGTTGTAATTTCCACTTTACAAGACTTGGCAGCTTGCAGACACTATACACTATGATTCCAAATAGCAAAGGGTCATACTGTACGTCAGCAAATCAGAGTATAGAGATGTGGGGTCCAGATAGTGGGGGACAAGAAAGCCCATGTACACGACAAGATAAAAGACTGTTAGAAAAGAAGGGTGCTATCGGCAACCCAAAAACACTAAAATAGCAATGAATTGTCTTATGCGACTTGGTGGAGAATCGCTTCCATATGGGAAAGACAACTTCAGGAGCTGGCCTGCTGAATTGGACAATGCAGTAAAACCTTTAAATTGAAACTGAGCACCACTTCATAAAAATGCATGCGATTTAATCAGTAAGTTTGATTAGTTAGATAAATCTGTCTTTATTAATTTTAAAAAAGATTATAATGTAAAATGATAGTACCTATAATAGCTGAAATTTGAAATACATTTTAAAAATTCATGCATTTCAAAATACGTTTGAATCATACATGTGAAAGGTAATGAATACACAGAATTGTTAAGGATTATGCTTGCCAATACCAGCGCTCACAAAACAAATGAAGCAAAGTAGCCTCCTTCCTAATGCTCCTCCAGCAGGCCCCAATGGCCATAACCCTATCATATTAAATTTATTTAGATTGCAATATTAATAAAGCTTCTGTTTTCCATTTTTTAGATGTAAGTGAAATCAACAGTTTAAATTTACTTATGTTAATCGTCCGATTTTTCACATTTAAAAAGTAGAATAGTTGCCGCAAATAAATTATCAATTGTACATTTTTACTCAATATTAAGCAATTTTGCACAAAAAACAAATATATTATGAATCACTTTAATATTCTATTCATATAGTACTATTGTGATTTTAGATGCTTGATTTGGTTCGCAAAATTTAAACTATGTTAAAAAGACAATTATCGAGCTGATATGGCCAGGTTCTGCTAAATGTGCATTATCCATACAGGTAAAGGGAAAGCAGTAGATGTTATGTCTATGGATTTCTGTAAGGCATTTGACAGCATACAACATAAGAAGTGAAGTAAATGTAGAGGGTAGATTTGTTTTAAAGGGAATTGATGTTCATAATAGGAACTAAACTCTAGATTGCTAAGGTATCTTCATACATACTGAAATAATGATTTGCAATATTCTGCAACAATAGATAGCTCTAGGCTGTGAATAACATTTCAAAGAATAATCATGAGTCACATTGTGTGATGGATAGTGTATTGGCCCTTAGCTGACATTTCATTTCTTTTTGGAGAAATCAGGTCAGGAAATATTGTATTCCAAGCATTTGAGAGTGAACACCCTGCCATGAAATATTAGAATGAAAACACACCTCATTAAAATTAGTCTTAGTCCAAATGATTTATTTGCATAATTCCACCCTTTGCACTCTTTCAGGTCATACTCAATTTATGATGAATTACTTTCAGAAAAGTTAACATAACTCTCAAAAAAATACAATAATGAACAAATTTAAACTTGGAAGTTATTTTTAAAGTTTTCTTTAAAACTAGCTTGGTAAAGTTGGTTTAAATCGGAAGATGACCTTTACATTTTCTTTTTTCGGCAGATGATATCATTTTTTAAAAAAAAAGTTCTCAAGAGGTTCCCAATAACTAAGATAACTGTGTTCTGAAATACAGCCACTATTTTACCACTGCCACAATGTGCTGCTTCTTTTCTGGGACAATTTTTACAGATCCAGGCTTGCTATGCTTGCGACGATTCATTTCCCTGAAAGTAAGAAAGAAACAGTTCCTTGAATGATACTCCTGTTTGGCAAACTCAGAATATGTTGGTGTTTACAGCTTACTGCATCATTTTCTGTTCAAACTATGAAATAATTCGATGGAAAATTCTTATGCAAATAAAGATGGAATTATTTCTAACACATTTTCTATGAGATAGGATCAGCAAATCAATCAAGTAAACTCTACTAATTTGAGCAATAGTATGCCAACGTTCCTGTTCTACTACTAGATTTTGCCTGTCAATTTTATTGGAGAAAAGGACGGAAAAGAAAGTGTGTGAGAAAAAAAAAGTCCTGAATCTGAATAAACTGTGAGTCTTTCTGAGACCAGCTCCCTGGTCTCTGCGAATACCAACCATTCCACAACCAGCCTTTTGAGTCTATACAATTGCCTGCATCCTGCAGGGACTCTCACAATAATTTTACTTTGTTTTTTTTATAGGGAAATGCCTGAGCTACACTTGCCCCATCAGGAATAATCAGAACTTAACTGTGGAATATGGATTCAAACTCACATTCTACAACTCTGCAGCAAAGCTCAGCTATTCTCAAGACCTTAAAACATTCTTTATTGTTAAACTGGTCTGTATTGTGCACTGTAGTATAGCGGAACGATTTTCATTGCAAATAATGAATTTGGTCGTTAATCGACTAAGCATTGGTATATTCAGTAGAATTCTTAATTATTTCATATTTCCAAGATAGTACCTCGAATTACTTTAGAAATGTAATTCAAAAAAAGTTGGTTAGAGATTTGAGCAACCCAAAATACTACAGAGCAGCATGTATCATGCAGTGGGTACATAAACTCAAACCTGCATCAAAACAAAGTGTGAAAAATGGCTGCTTACTGGGCTATCAAATTGCTGCTAACTTCACTTCCTGCAAATTGTGCACATGAATGATCCGGGTGAGAAGCAGCACTGATGTCACTTCCTTTGCAAATCAAAAGGGAGTGATGTCAGTGGCAATTTGATAACTTGGAAGGTGGCTATTTTTTAGTACAAAAACTGGCTAGGCAGGGCCGGAGGCTGGGTGTACCACCTTTCCGCTATACCACAGTGCACAATACAGACCAGGGCTAGACTGGGGTGAATGATAATGCATATATACAATTTTTAGTATAATGGAATAGTCTAAAACATACTTTCTGCGCCTTGATTCTCTCATGATGCGGAGTTCCTTGATCTGGGTATAGATCGATTTAGGCAAATGACGGTGGCGAGCTATTCGCTTGATCTGAGGATGATGCAGGAATTTTTCTTTAAGTTTTTCATTATAGTTTAGAGCAGCCTTCTCCCTTGGTGAAATCTACGGAAACAAAATACATTACGTTAACACAACTAAACATGAAGTGGTTGAAGTCTTGCAGAATATTTCAGTGCATTTATATTTACATTTTTTACTTTTAATACTTGATTTGGATCAAAAACAATTTCACTTAGTGGATTTTGCTGGATGGGGCAGGGGAGAAAGAGGAAGGTTGTTAACGTATGCATTATCAATATAAATTAACCTAGCATTATCTCAATGAAGGGATATTGGTTATGCAAACGTGTTTATTGAAGCATCATTGGAGATTGGAGCTGGTTGTCTTTCTGCCTGATTGCACTATGAATGTGGAAGCACTGACTGGCACTTAATCTTTGTTATGATGCTTGTTGGGATTTTATGCACCTCAACTATCACATCAGTTGTAACAGGGTTCTATTATAATTTACGAGAGATTTTAAGCACAGTAGTGCTGAAATATGTTCATAACTGGCTTTCAAGGATCATTCGAGAGACCTGGGTTTGATTCCTGGCAGGACAAAATATTGGGCAAGTTTCCTTACTCCACATGCCTCTGTTCACCTAACAGTAAGTAGGAACCTGGTTGTCAGTCAATTGGCAGATCGCTTTTCCAGGGGTAATAAATCCTTCCAAAAAAATAATACAAATAATAAATTGGTCACTCATTCCACAACTGTTTGTGGGACACTGCTGTGCACCAGGTTTCGCACACAAAACATGCAGGCAAATCACTTTACAGTATATTCTGTGAAGCGCTTTGAGACATCTCAAAGACGTGATTAGGCGCTATATCAAATGCAAAGATTATTATCATTATTAAACAACACTCTATTACTGGTTCTGGAATTTTTTTTCCTTCTGCTTGGATCTTAAAAGTTGCATGACTCCAAAACCACACATTTTTCTAGTTTGCTTCTAAATTACCAAAATACTTTCAACATGAAACCTCCTTGTAATCTTCTTTGCAGCTGTTAATTATATTAAATACTCTAACATGTCATTCACATGGTTACAAAGTTTAAATAATTTAGTGTAGCACTTTAGGAAGTTACTTTCATTAAAATGGTAAAGCTGCAAAAACAATTGGGGTCTGAAATCTTGACCTGCAAGCATAAGAGGAATTGTAATAAATTAAGAGAATGTCATTAATGTCCTACCCTTCACTAGCAATAATTATGTAAGAAGAAACAGAAATGTTATGTCCTAGTGAACTTGATATTAAGAACAAAATGATTTAAAACCATAAAATCTCAATCCAATGTCATTAAATGCTAGTTTAAATCTCACATAAGTCATTCCATTATTTTATTAAATTCCATTATTTAACATCAGCGATAAAACTGAAACCTTTTATTTTACTCTCTGCTTTCTTTTAAACTCTATATCTAACATTGACCAAGATCACTTTTCTCCACCTTTGGAACATCACCTCTCTCCTTTCTACTTTATTTTCAGCACAGCCTAAACCCTTTAGTTAGAAACCTGACTTTAGTTAGAAACCTCGCTTAACCCTCAATATTCCAGAATTCTGGAGCCAGTAACCTCTCCTGCACTAGGATCTGAATGTCTACCACCCCGACCTCACCCACCTCCATTGGACTCATGATCACCAGCTTTTTTTTCTTTTTTTGGACAGCGCAAAAAACAGCCATTCATCCCAATCAGTCCATTTCATCCTACATATATTAATTCTTCCATACCTCAAGAATATGATGCACAATATCAGCTGCAACCCCTATGGGATATTTCATATTGTTCAGTGATGTATATCATAATTCAACAAAGCATTCCATAAGAGCTTTTTTTAAAAAAAACATTGCAAATGTTATAGTTTCTTTATTTTTAATGGGAGGTCTTTTCTAAATTTGTTCCTTAAAATAAATTGAGAATAGCTAGTTCCACCTTCCGATACTACCTCGCCAAAATAGCAGATCTGTCATTCTATCATGTTCTCCACAGTACTTTATCCCATTTGGAAATATATCCAGGATGCAGATGGTTGAGAATGCATGGCTCTTGTATTCTGGAAATTAAATGAATTTGTTTCTTTAAATAGTATTTTTAGTTGGCAAGATGTTGGTAGAATCACAATATTGTGATTCAAGGTATTTGTATTCAACATATTAATACAAATATCAGTGATTCAAAAGATTTACAATAAATATTTAACTGGTTTAGAGCCCAAACTTTTAAATTAGCTAAATTCATTTTAAATGGAATTAAATTACTCTGTTAAGCATTTGGACTAACATAGGACAAAATACACCACAAACTCACATTGTATATTTATTAACACATTCATTAAAAAGTAAATATTTGAATGTACAAATGTTCAATATCTATGAAAATAATTTACAGATCAAAAGTGTAAATGTTTTGAAGGTGTATAGAGATCCTCACTTTCAAAGCTGATCTGGTCAGTGCACTTAACACTTAGCTCTACACTTCATTCTCAGTAATTAAAATGTGTCTATATAAATATTATATGAGAGCAGACCCCTGTAAATAAATTTTATTCAACTATTGTGTGAGCTATACACTACTGAATTGTCTGAAGAGTAGTAAGCACAGCACTGAATTGTCGTGTGAGCAGCTACCACTTATCCTAAGAATACAGACCACTGAAGTGAGAAGTTTCAGTGTTTATGAGTGGGCAAAGCAAAAACTGTGACAATATTGCCCATGTAGTAAACTATAGATCATCTGATCATATATACAAAATATCTAAACTAAATTATTTTGAGGGACCGCTGTAATTAATACGACCATCCAGAACTCAGAACAAAACCACACTCCCTTCTATTCATTTTATTTTGACTGTTTGTAGAAAATGAGAAAGATGACCAAACATGTGGTTTAAAAAGATGGATATTGAGGCAGGCTGAAGGTGGGGTGGATGTGTGGGGAGAAAGTCCGGTACTGTGTTCCAGAGAACTCAGTAGAATGTCTAAAAGCTTGCCCAATGATGGTGGGGTGGCTTGGGCAGGAGAGATGAAGCATGTCGTTGTTAGCTAAGTGAAGGGAGTAGCCAGGTTGGGAGGATTGCAGGAGGGTGTCGAAGTTGGGTGGAGCAAGGCCACAGGATTCTGAACACGAGGGCAAGGATCCCGAGTGCAATCCACTGAGGATGGAAGCTGCAATTTACATAATCTTACCACTGATTTATTGTACGCCATTCCATTTACAACAAGCCTACGATGATATTCATAAAGAAATTTGAATGAAAGAGGCTCATTGGATGGAAAAATGATGTCTTAAGGAAACCACCACTAGGAACAACAACAATAATACATTTGTATAGCGCCTTTCATGTCGGGAGGATGTCCCAAGGCGCTGGACTGGGTACAGCATTTCAGACCCGAGCTGGGGTTGGGGGGTAAGGGAGAGGAGGGGAAGAGGGGGGGGCTGATGGCATGGTCGAAGAGGAGGGTCTTGAGGCGGGCCTTGAAGGAGGCTAAGGAGGGGGCGAGGTGGAGTGATTGGGGGATGGAATTCCACAGGTTGGGGGCAGAGTGGCTGAAGACTCTCCCGCCAATGGTGGGGCGGGTGGGTCGGGGGACATGGAGCAGGCCAGAGCCGGCTGAGCGGAGGGAACGGGCAGGTTGGTAGGGGATTAGGAGGTCACAGAGGTAGGGTGGGGCGAGGCCATGGAGGGCTTTGTAGGTGAGGACCAGGATCTTGAACTGGATCCTCTGAAGGATAGGGAGCCAATGAAGTCGGGCGAGAGCGGGGGAGATGGGGTCATGGAGTTTGGTGCGGGAGAGGACACGGGCTGCAGAGTTCTGGATTATCTGCAGCCTGTGGTCGTAACGTTTATGCATTGTTCTACAATGAAATACATTCTTTGAAACTTAAAATGTAATTTATCAATTCATGGAGTTGGTAACATTGCCGAAAACAACTTTTTACTATAACATTGAAAATATCTTAATGTAGAACTGTTTTTAGAGGGGCTTTGTGCTAACTTTCAAATGGTACATTTATAATTAATTTTCCCTTTGTGCACTTAATGTTGTCCACTAATTCCATTAAAGAAATAAGGTATTAGATTTTATTTAATCTAGGTCATTTTGACCTGACAAACTAAAAGACAAATCATTTGGGCTTAATTAAATCATTCCTTTCACTTTTATATCTCAATCAATGAAGAGTTCCAACTTCCATTACTAGTTAAATACATGTATCATGCTCCTTGCAGTTCAGTTCATTTTCCTAAGCCTGCTTAAATAGCTGTGTCTGTCTTAATAAATCCCTGTCTCATTCGTTTTACTGGAAATTGTCAAAGCAATCTAAATTCTAAGGGCTTTTACTCTAATTAAAAGCAATGATTTTCTTTAATTCAATCCAAGAAGAGAAAACTGCTGCTGATCTAGTATAACTACAATGCTTATGCAGAAAAAAGTATCAGTTAAGCAATTTATGAAGGTCTTGAAAATTATGTGCATTCTAATGGGATTTCTAGGAAAAACAAATCTAGATAATATATTGCCAGGTCACAAAATCTACTGAAACGCTGAAGGTAATGTTAAGGAAGATACATTTTAACCATTATTAAGTAATCTTAAGTTAATTGCAATGACAAAGCATGTTTAAGGCTTCCACTGTTACTCTCTTCAGGGAAAATACACTTCATCAGGCAGCCTGTATTCCATGTTGATTTTATTCCAATAAATTCACAGTTGGAAAGTCTTTGCTATTGTGTCTTCAATGTATCAGTTTTCTATGCTCCCGTTTAAAGTACATCACATTACACATTTGATCAACTAAGATTTCTGGGTGTTCTAAGAAAGCTTCATCATTTCAAAGCACAATTGAAAAGAAAGGGAAGGGACTAATGCCATGATACAATACAATATTACATGTATATAATGCCTTTATCGTCAGGAGGACGTCCCAAGGTGCTGGACAGTCCCAAGGGTAGCCGAAGGTACAGTCGAAGAAGAAGGCTATACAAATGTAATTTTGTTGTTGTCTTCAGATGGTACTTGAAGGGAGGGAAGAGAGGGTGAGGCAGAGTTATTGCAGGGATAGAGTTCCAGAGTGTGGGGGCGGAGATGCTGAATATCCAACCGCCAATAGTGGGCAGAAAGCGTGGGGACCTGAAGCAGGCCAGTGTCCGCCGAGCAGAGGGAGCGGACAGGCTGATGTGAGGTTATGAGATTGGAAAGGTGGGGGGACCAAGACCCTGGAGGGCGTTGAAGGTAAGAACAAGGGTTTATGCGTAATTGGCTGCCGCGTTTCTCCCACAAATATACAGTCAATTCACTTTATAGCATATTCTGTGAAGCGCTTTGAGACGTCTAGAAGACATGAAAAGCGCTATATCAAATGCAAGGATTATTATTATATTATTATATTCTGTGAAGTGCTTTGAGATGTCTAGAAGATGGATAAGACCCTATATCAAATGCAAGTATTATTATTTATTTAGGGCAGCTGATATGTGTCAGCGATGTCCCATAGAGCCATAAGAAATAAAATAACCATTTGAATGAAGCAGGAATATTGGCCAGGACACGAAAATACATCCTGTTCTTCAAAATATTGCCATGGGGTATTCAAACAACAACTAATTCACCAAAACAGATAGCAATGCATTCTCTGGATAATATGTTAAAAGTGGCAAAATTGTTGAGAGATTTCATCTTTCAGATGAGATGCAAATATTCTAATGAAAAATGGTCAAGGCTACTGGTTTATTAATAAAATTAAATTGCCTTTGGTGCACAATTCGTTGAACTTTGTTTATTTGGAAGCATAAACTCTGGGCCACTGTCAACCCAGTTTATGATATCTAGGTCTGGAGTGGGGCTCAAACTCATGATCTTCTGATCTGAGGTGAGAGCACTCCCAACTAAAGTTGGTTGGATAACAGTTTTTGCAAACATACTGGACAATCTCTGAATTTTTATATTGGAGTCATGAGCCTGCAAGGAACTAAAATATGTGAAGCAAATTTGCATTTGGTAATCCTAGTATTTGATTAACTAGCCTTTGGACTTAGCCCTGACTTTCAGCTTTTACAGATGCAATGAAGATGGACACCTCTCATACTGCTGTAATACAAATGACATCTCCAGGATACAATCAAACATTGACAATAGGCTGGAGTTATATCGCCAGCTCATTGCTCCCATCCCGCACTTATTACAAATAAACAGGTTCTGTACGGTGTAATACTAATATCAATTTTGTAAACATTGAAGAGCTAGAAGTCCTGGTCATTTTTTAAAAAAAGCAAAGAGTATTCCTGTGGAAAGTCTTGGGAACTTTTGAAAACAGCTTATATTGAAAAGTTCACTTTACAACAGCTAAAGTAGTTAGTGTAGTTGCACTATAATTGGTACAAAGCCAAACCGATACAAGATTAACTACCTAAAGTGGGCAAAAAAGGAACTCCTAAACTACAGGTGCAATGCGAAGTGTACATCAGTTCAATAATAAAATTACCACAAATTAGTGTAAACTGTCAGAAATGATTTCTAAGGATGGGGAAGGCAAGTCAAAATTGCTTCCTAGAATTCCTAAAAAGTTGGTCAAATGTAGGATGGAATTTTGTTTATTCCAATGCAGTGTGAAGGAATGCTGAATTGTCAGAGGTGCTGTTCTTCAGATGAGATGTTAAACTGAGGTCCCATCTGCCTGTTCAGGTGGAGGTTAAAGATCCCATTTGAAAAGAGGGAATTTCTCTCTTAATAATAACAGCCAATAAACCTACAGCTAAAAATTAAGTATTTTGCCACATGGTTCCTTGTGGGATATTGCTATGCACACATTGGCTGTCTCGTTCACCTACAATATACACTTTACAGTAAATCCTGTGAAGCGTTTTGAGCAGTCCTTACAAAGTGAAAGGCGCTATACCAAATACAAGGATTGTTTAAATCATAAAAATGGAATAAATTACACAGAAATTTATTACACAGAAAAAGGATTCATTCTGAAAAATTAAGTAATTGGATTGCCAGCATTTTACAGAATCCAAAGATGAATGCAGCACATAGAGAATATACTGCTTCTTTAATGCTTACGTGATAACAGGTACAAATAATAATAATAATCCTTGCATTTGATATAGTGCTTTTCACGCCGGGAGGACGTCCCAAAGCGCTTCACAGAACACACTGTAAAGTGAATTGACTTGACTATATTTGTGGGCGAACGCGGCAGCCAATTGCGCACAGCAATGTACCACAAACAGTCGTAGAATTGAAAATGACCAATTTATTATTGTTTTTGGTGGGATTATTATTAGGCTCTGTGTGGAGTAAGGAAACTTGCCCAAGGTTTCGGCCCTGCCTGGAATTGAACTTCAGATCTCTCGCTTGCAAAGCGAGTGCTCTAACCACTGAGCTACAGGACTCCAAGTCATCAAGGTTTTCAACACATATTGTTTAAGAGTGTCTGGTAGAATAACAGTTCAAACGCCTGGTTCACAAACATGTGGCAGTATTTTCACCTACAGGCCTGTGGGTCATTTAAATCTGTCAGCAATAAATGTGTTTTAGCAGCTGCTATGTTGAGAGCAGTGGAGAATCTTGTATATTTTCTCTCAGCCTGCTGCAAGCTTGCTTCCAGTCAGTTCCACGTTTGGATTGGTAACAGATACAGCAACACCACCTGCAGTCCTGGTTATGGACACATGATGGCAGGCTTGGAAAATTAGTAGAAAGGTCCCACTTTTGCATTATAATTTGTAAAGTTAATGACACAGATCCAAGGATAGAAGTTTCTAAAATGTTGAGATTATTTGCTAACAAAATATACAGTCAAATTCACTTTACAGTATATTCAGTGAATGGCTGTGAGACGTGTCGAAGACATAAGGCGCTATATCAAATGCAAGGATTATAATTATAATTTTAGAAATTGTCATGGGAATCTGCGTTCATTTAGACAGTCAGATGAGACCTTGGTGTAACATTTCATTCAAAGGACGATGCCTCCAACAATGGAGCACTCCTTCAGCAATTTGAACACATCATCTTGGCTGACACCCAACAACCCCCAGATAAAGTGGTCACTTCATTTCACGGCTGTTCTTTGGGACATTTCTGTGTGCAAATTGGCTACAACAACAAGATTTCATTTATAGAGCGCCTTTTATGTCAGGAGGATGTCCCAAGGCGCTGGACAGTTGGGTCAGGACCCGAGCAGGGGGGAAATGGTCAGGGTGAGGGGAGGGAAGGGAGGGAGCGAGGAGGGGGTAGAGAGTCGAGAGGGGAGCTGAAGGCTCGGTCAAAGAGAAAGGTCTTGAGACCGGTCTTGAAGGAGGAAAGGGAGGAAGCGGCGATGGCACTGGGGGATGGAGTTCCAGAGCCTCGGGGCTGAGAGGCTGAAGCCCCGGCCACCGATGGTAGGGCGGTTGGGGCGGGGGATGTGGAGCAGACCGGAGCCAGAGGAACGGAGGGTACGGGCAGGTAAGTAGGGGCTACTATATCAAATGCAAGGATATTGTTTAAATGAAAGGAACTAGCAGAAAGTAATGGTTATTAAATAGAGAACATACTGAAGAAACCAATTATGAAAACATTTGTCTGTTAACCAAGTGCTGGCAGCTATTGACAATCTTTACCCCTGGGAAACCAGTTTTCATTTAAGTTGTTCAGCTCACACAAATGTTACTGATCAAAGCCCAATATAGCTTTACTAAAGTTAATCGGTAGAAGCTTTATCAGAGTATCAATTTGACAGTTACATACAGTATTAAACAAAATACAATTTTAAAAACACTTTATTCACCTATTTAAATCTTCTGTTTATTTACCAGTCTTTCTCCAAGTTTTTAGCTCAACCTCTGGGTAACCTTATTTTGAGCATTATTATTCTATATATCCATTTTTAATCCTTTTTCTTCAAGAAATAAATTAATGTATTTCAATTAAGTCGGTGCACTGATTTTTTTCATATTTCAAGAAACCACAGTGCAACAACCAATCTAGCATGAAGTCTACGAAGCCAATCTGTGCAGTCGAGTTCCCACTTGTTTTCAGCAAAATAAATGTCACAAGTTTGTAATGGTTGTATAATAGACCAACCGTGTCGATCAACACGTTTAATGTCAGATTGAGAAGGGTTGCCACAGCATGAGCCATCTCACCGTCAGCCAAAGGGAACCACATTCTGCACAAACAAGTTGATACTTCTATGATTTGATAGGTGAGCTAAAGCAATTCAAACCAAAGTAAAAGTTGAACAACAGTGGCCATTTCAGATGCAGAAAACGGCACTGAATTTGGCTTATAGTAATAATACTTACATTCATTTTAGCACCTTTTACTTTGGGAGGACGAACCAAAGTGCTTCATAGGATATACTGTAAAAATGCAGTGGCTGTTTGTATTGTGTAGGCGAACGGTCCAATGCAGTACTTTTGATGAAAGTGAGACTGAGACACTCCAGACGAATTTTAAAAATGATACATGTTTATATGGACAAACAAGATAAAAAAACAGGATAGCTGGGGCAACTTTCGTAAAGAATGAATGGATGCTGTAATTAATTAATCAATTTATTAAATGACGTTGTTGGTTTTATAAATTTCCTATCAAGATTGGTGGTCGTTCTATGGTTTCTGGAAAGATATAATTCTATTTGTGCACATTTTTTTGACTTCCATTAAAACCATGTTGAAATTATACCAAAAACGTGTAGAGCAGAATATATTCCCACAGTACTTCATACTGAAATAGCTTACATATTCTTATCAAAGTTTTCTTTAAAAAGTACTTACTATACCAAGTTTTTCTGATGCATGAGCCTTCCATAAACGAATATTCATTTCATCTGAACCACAAAGTATGTACTTGCTGTCTGCAGACCATTTAACACACATAACGTGCTGCATACGTTTTGTATGGTACACTTCCCTAGAAAAGATAACATGATTACTTTATCACTGAATAAGCATTTTGCAGTGGCATTACTGTTTGAAAATCAGTTGTTGCATGAAACAAAATGCAAAAAGGAACCTGAAGTATTGAGTCAAAAATAAACATTCTGCAATCAGTTCCATTCGGGAACTAAACAGAAATACAAAATAGTTTATCCATGATAATTTTATTTATTCGCTTATTTTTTTGCTGCACATTCCAGTTTAGGTTTGCCTAAGTTATCTATATTGCCATACTTAAAGTCCAGATTACACAGTCACTTATATATATGCTGTACAATTATTCTCAATTTCTACAATATTCCAAATTGCAATTTAATTAAAAGCAGCAACCATCTGAAACAGCTTACATTGTAAATAGTCCAAAGGCTTAAAATATATGCAAGAAATTGTAAGAGCTAGTCATGAAAAAGTTGTGCCATTAAGGGGCATTTTATACCAGATTCAAATCAAGTTCCAATCATCCTGGATTAAATAAAATGTGGTTATTTTATACATTTCCCATGAAATTAGGCACAGGGCAACTCCTAGGCAACTATCATGAATACTTTACGTAGCTACCTTTAACTAAAAGTAAGTTATATTTACTTTCACATGCTCAGCAATACGTTTCCCATCAGTGCAAAATGATAGAAAATGAAGTTAAACCAATCTGCAAAAATAAACACGTTTTAAATGATTTGTAAGGCCTTACCATTGCAAAAATGCTAGATTTTTCACAGCGAAATATGATCTACCAATTTCAATGTTTAATACTTTTAGGATGTCAAATACATATAGAGGAAGCAACGTCTTGCGTTTTCTTTCATAAAAACAAATTAAATCTTATTCCAATTGTCAGGATTGTCTGAAAATCCTGGAGTAGCACATAGCACCAGGCGAGTGTTAAAGTTACTTTAAACCACTGTGAAACCTAACGAAACACAGGTTCGCTAACACAACAGGTGCCCTATGGGCACATCGCTGGCTTCCTGAGAGCTTGGTAAGGGATGGAGAGAATGTGATTGTTGACTTTGACCAGTGGAAGGGGCGGAAACTGGATTGGAGGGACTAGAGGAATGAGCTTTACGAAAGGAAAGAGCAGAAAAGAGCATAGCTGGGAGGCGCCGACTCATTTTAGCACCTCGAAGAGGAAGGGGACGTTGGAGATGGGTCAGTAGCTGGAGAGCCTGGAAGTCTCAAGTGAGGGCTTCTTGAGGAGGGAGGTGATGACAGCAGTTTTGAAAGGGGGTGATGGTATGCCAATGGAAAGGGAATTGGGAATTAGAAGCGAAAACTGAAAGAAAAATTAAAGCACAGAATAATCTTGGTTAAACTCAAAATAAATGTCTATCGTTAATGCTGACATTTGAAAACTACATTCTTCTATATTCAGCAAATGGGGAATTTCTGCTAAATCATGATCAAAAGCTTTAAAAGCTGTATTAAAATCAATATGTAACATCTCCGATCAATGGCACACTCAAATAAGTATTTTGCTTTGACCTTTTAGGCATCAGTACCTCTAAATTCATAAGAACAAATTGACAACATATTAAACAAATTAAATAAAGAAGACCATATAAAGTGGATTATGGTTTACATTAAGTAATTATCTTCCCCAAAACACAATAACTACAGAAAAAACCTGCAATGTGTGACAAACATTTCTAAAATCTAAAACATGTAATACGAAATAAACTAATTATGAACACTAAACTTTCTAAAGCTGCAGTATACATACATAGTTTTTCAGACAATATTTCACTCAATTTCCATAATTTCCTTTTCATAAATAGAATTGTATATTTTTCTGATTTTTTTTAATGCCCTTTAATTAGTTAAGAATTTCACTGTATTTTTTAAGGTCCCACAAACATAATCTGAATATTGAAGACAACATAACTGTCTGCTGCAATCTGGATTTCCTTTATCCTATTTCACCAATTCACTGGGTCTATGCAGCTCTCATTTTAGATATTCTTTCTTATGAAACTGTCCAATCATACAACTACTGCTGCAATATTACTCAATCAGTGAAACTATTTAGCTCACCAGTACAGAGACGAGTTCATTTACAAAGGAAATATGAAGAAACAAGAAGAAAAGTTAAGGACACAAATTGAACACAAAATTATTGAGGGGGAAAACTACAGTAGAAAGAATATTCAGAAAAATTACAAAAATAAAGATTTGGGAAAGTGACTAAAGATGCCAAAGTAAATAAAAGCCATAAAGATGAAAAGATTTGATATTAAAAGGAAGCAAAGCAAAAATGTAAATAAATCAGGTTAATATTAGATTTCTCACACAGATCAGATATATTTATTACAGCACATTATGGATCAATTGTAAAGACGTATGCATATATGAATTGTACACTTTAGATGATCAGAATCTGTGTGAGAAGTCCTCCTGTTTTCTTCCAAACTAGACTTAAAAACACAAGCAGTTTCTAAATTGGCAATCTTTATTGGAGGTCTCAGTTCTAAAGATATATGGTTTGGACGATAAAATACATCTTTCTGGTCATAAATTTGCTGCTGGACAACATATAGCATCATAACTGATAATATTTCTCTAGAAATGTATCCAATTTCTTACATCTCATTCATACTATTCATTACAGTGCTTTCTCTGGTATTATTATGATTTAAAGAATACCATTTCCATTATCACAAATAGTGTGGAACATAGGATATGCTAGATGAAAAAATACCAAGGGCCATCTAGTCCATTGCACTGCAAGTATACTGAGCAAAAAATTCTTGGAATTCTATGTTTATTTTTGCAAGTCGATTAAAACAATAAATGTGTGCTCTTCTATTGAATTCCAACCACAATAAAATCAAATCCAATTGTAGATAAGGATTAATCACAATTGATCATACTGCAGATTTATTTAAAAGAACTAGCAGCAACAAAACCATCAACTTACTACTATTAAGTCCATCAAAATATTGAGCAAAAAGCCCAACATGTCTGTCCATTTATATATTTTTGGGGGACAAAAATGACACTTCTCCAGAAATGTATCCAATTTCTTACATCTCATTTATACTATTAATTTCAATGCTTTCTGTGGTATTATTATGATTGAAGGAATAACATTTACATTATCACCAATAGTGTGGAACATAGGATATGCTAGACGAAAAAAATGCCAAGGGCCATCTAGTTCACCTTCTACCATCCTGGTAGTCTCATGCTACAATAATAATGGAGATATTGACGAATCATGGCAATCAATCTCTATTGATTAGTCTACAACAGACTCTGGCATTAGGCGAGGAAAACCCACCAGTGGTGAAACGCTTTGGGAACCATAGGTCCTAAGGTGCCTGTGTTACATTTTTTTCCTTCTATTTTTTTTCTCCATTGGCATATAACTCTCTGTTTCTGTCTCATCTTTTCTTGCTGGGGTGTGCTTCCAGGGTGTTGTTTGCTCTCTGCTGCACTGCCCAAGTGGTACGTGTTAGCCTTGTCAGTGAGGTTTGGGAGGCTGATCAATTGTAGAGGGTGGGTGGTGACCTGACCTCTCTTACCTGGTTTCCATACATAGGCACAGCAGTAGAGGGCTCAGTCAAGGCACCAGGAATCTTGCCAGGTGGTCCCCTCCTTCATCCTGAGAAGTCCATGAGCCAATTATAGTCTTCCCATGGAATCCCAATTGAGACCAGCAGACAGGAAGTTGAACCAGTGAGCTCCTGGTCTATAAACTGCAGCTCTATCCACACCAGATATCTGTCCCCATGTTTTTTTAAAACATAATACTGGTAAAATCAATTATAGCTTTTCCATACTATTGAGGACAGAAAAAGTGCAATTCAGAAAGAACTGTTCTGAACTTCCTTCACCTTATCCTCAAAATAATGTCCCAAAATGACATTCTATATTATCCACTAGCTACCTTCTAAATCCATTTTTATTAGCAATGAATAATGGTCAGTTTTTTGTTCTGAACACATATCTATTTGGAATTCAGCTAAAACTTGAGCATATTCACTTATAATTCATACTACTATCAGGAAAGAGAATATTCTGGTGTAGTAATGATCTAGGTTAAGATTTTCTTTTGCTGAAATGTACTCAACAGTGTACTTTTTGGAGGTTAATGTGTGTGTGAGAACTCCATCCACAGTATGATTTATGCAACCCGTAGCCTCCTAATGGACAAACTGAATACAGTAAAATGATCCTTGCATTTGAAATAGCACTGTATCTTGTATCAAAACATGGTAAAGCATTACAGATTTTTCTGTGAAATGTAGTACTGTGTACATCTAGACAAACCAGCAGCGAATTGCACACAACAATGTCACATGTGCAACAATTAAATGATTGACTATTATTTTCCCTCTGAATTATTTTTGACCAATACACTGGTCGAAACTCACTTCTCTCTTCGAAGATGGGATACCATGGGATCTTTAATGCCACTAAACAGGAAGAGGGACTTTGGTTTATCGTCTCATCTGAAGGTGGCACCTTCGACAATGCAGCACTCCCATTGTAATGTCAGCCTAGACTTAAGATCTCAAAGTCCTGACTTATTTATAATTATAATATTTTGGCTTCTGGCTTATTCAGTGCTGCAGGCAAATTTATCTAGATTATTTGGTAGCTTGGTTTAAAGGTTACTCTAGGCTTCATAAATATATAATTTACTATAAAAATGTAAATTTGCTGTATGCCTCTTACAGACCATCACAGAACTACATTTTAAAGAACATGTTACAAAATCATTGGTAAGCAGTGATTAATGAATTGCAAATTTTAATATATAAATACAATTCAATCTTCACATTCAGATTCAAGATGAGAGCACATAGCTAACAATATCTAGATATGATTGCCTCAGGTTATAGTACAAGTTTCTGCAGGTTTTGAACATACTTGCACTGACAAATCCATCTTGAACTGAGAACTGATTAATCCATGTTTCTCTTTTTAAAATGATTCATTCACTTGCCATCACAGAACACATATCACAAAGTTATTGTTTTAAAAATAGATAAATCTCCTATGTCAAGGCAACTTATTCAATCTCGTGACATTTACAAGCTCTTGGTTTGCACTGCCACCCAGTATTTTATTTTTCCTAAGTCACACTTCGTTGATCTGCAACAACCATTTGTATTTTGTGTGTTTGTTGGAAATAATAATCCTTGTATTTGATATAGTACTTTATCAAGACTTTGAGATGTCTTAAAGCACTTCACAGAATATACTAGAAGGTGAATTGACTGTATATTTTGTGGGCGAAACGCGGCAGCCAATTGCGCACAGAAATGTCCCACAAGCAGTTGTGAATTGAAGGACCAAATGTATTTTTTTGTGTGATGGGATTATAAACCCCAGAGAAGTGATCCGCCAATTGACTAACAACCGGGTTCCTACTTCCTGCTAAGTAAACAGACGTGTGGCGTAAGGAAAAGAAATCAAACCAGGATCCTCTCGCTTGCGAGGTGAGTGCTCTAACCAATACTCTCCAACAATACAGTAAAGTTCATGCATGATAGTATATAATAAATATTTTTGGAATAAAAGGGAACCTGAGTGGGGTGGATTAAGCTATTCTTATAGTTCTCAAAATAAATAATTTTAAAAGGGATAAAAATGAAAAAGGTCACCAACCTGCTGTGCCCCTTGTTTGAAGGGAAGATACGAATACATTTATCGAAACTAGCGGAGACAAATTCCTTTCCTGTTGGGGAGTAATCTACATCAAGTACGGCCGAGACGTGATCCATATGCACCATAAGAGGAGAATCAAGGGAGCGCATGTCAAATGTATACAAGCTGAAGAAAGAGTAAGGCAACATTAAGATTTAAACATATTTCACGTGATTTAAATTAAGACTACAAAAACACTATGTGTATTTGTTCTTTGTTACTAAAAAGATGTCTTAACATTTCTACTCCAGTTTCCCATTTCACCTCCATTTGCAGAATTTCTCCTCTTAGTCAAGGCATTGAGCTTGTTCATTCCACTTTCCCTTTGAATTGTAACATATGGAAATGGTGAATATGCTACCTTAGATTTTGCTTACAGCATGCTTTTGAAGATTTGCTTTTAAAAGCAATTTAGGGTAAAAAAAAAATTATAGTTTAATGTTTTACAGAGAACAGCACTATATTCTGAAAATACAATCTATTGTAAACAACAAAGAACATATTCAACAGCTTACATTCAAACAAGAATATAGGACTGGGTGATAAGCCACACTTCCAAAATGTGAAAGGCTTGTTTTTTTCTTTTAGCACCAAAGTCTTCTCTCAAAAACTCATTTGAGAGGCTGGTACTTTATTAATAGCTATTATGCTTCTGATAGATAACATTTTCACACACCACTAATGTAATCACTTGCTATATTGCGGCTCAGTCACATGAAGCTCCACATACTTCATCCAATATTTCACCTCAACTGAATCAAGACCAAGATTCACAAGTTGCCACAAAATGAAAACTAACTTAAAGTATAATTAGTCAATATTCCTACAGTTTGGGATCCAGCATAAAATAAGATTTATTCTGCAAAAAAGATTAAATTCAATTCAGATTTAGCCAAATTATTTTGGGTGAAATGTTGTCCTCATCGAGGTGAGGGTTATTCGCACTGAGAAATAGAATACTTTCCCATTTTGGGCACATAAGGAGGAATTGAAAGGGAAAATAATACAAATTTCAAATGGGAAGTAAACTAAAACTGTTTTTATTACTATTCCAAATACTAAGCAGATGAAAACTTTTAGATTTTATATCCCCCCCTCACCCAGCCCAATGCTTAGTGATGGTCAAGCGAAGTAAAGTTACCAAGAGTAAAAATGATGACAAGATTTTCAAGGTTCTAATTTTGCTAGGAGTTTTATGGCTTAAAATGTACAATAAAAACTTCTTGAAACGGATAGTGACGAATAATCAATTCATTCACTTATAATCAACAATAAATTCCTGTCAACTACTCTAAAACAAATCAATGAGCCTTTTCAAGATAGTCACTGTGAGCATCCATAAAATTAAATTTACTGCAGTTTTAGCAAAGCAGCGCAATAGGCTTTTGGCTGCAGCATTCTTTGGTAAGCACTATCTATATAATGAAGTACAAAAAAGCATTCCCATATAATAACATTACGCCTAAAGGCAGAAGGAGCAATTCTTCTGTCTCCACATACATCAAGCTATGAAAAATACATTAATCTCACCCTCCTGCAAATTTATTTTACATTGCTCTTTGTCTTGGGAGGGGAAAGGAAAGCATCTTTGTAATTCACTGTATACAGGGTTAGAACTCAAGTATTTAACTATTCTAAGGACACCAAAAGAGAGCTGAATAAGCAAAACAACAAACCTCCACGTTCTTTCCTCTCTTGACCTACCCTTGAATCAATATTTTTTAAACAATTACTTACTTATAGTCTTCATTTGCTCCAGTAAAAATAAAGGCCTCCATAGGGTTCCAACATATAGTGTTGGTCCTCAGACTCATAACAACCTGTCCAAATAAAAGTTTGAATTGAAAATAAAAAGTATATAATATTTAAATTCCATTTAATTTGTGTCATTTTCTAGATAACATTAAGCGTCTTACCTTCTTTAATGGCGTTGCTTGCCTCATATCATACAGAACAATATTTCTATCTGAAGCACAGCTTGCAAGAAGGTAGGTCTGAAATCAAATAGAATAATTGACACAATCATTAAACGATTGCAGTCATTACATGCAAGTTCCAAAAAAAAATTGGAAATCAAAAATAGTAGTATGAAATTAAACCAAATTTATGAAAGCAAACAAGTAGAATTTTGAAGCATAACTGACTGCAAAACCCATACTAACATTTCATCACACTATATGCAATATAAATGTATTTTCAAATAGAATTTAGTTTAATGCTCATTATCCCAACCCACCCCTCCAGGTTAAAAACTAAAGTTTTCTTTATTAAGGATTCAGTTTCTAAAAAAAAATTTCTCTAAAAACTTTCGAGCAATCACACTGAATGAGCACTACATATCCACATCCCCGAAATCTCACTCTTCAAAAAAAATACAATTCAATACAGCTTGAAATGTACAAATAGTAAAAAATCAAGGTCTAAGAATTGGGATCTATAAATTTTCCTCACCCAAGAGTCTCAAACATTAAAAGTCAGCATGCTCAATTCTTAATCTGGCTTCCACAAATATCCCTCCATCCTGGATAATTTAGAAAGCCACAAATTCAAATCATAATTTTTTTTTAAAAAATCAAAAAATTCTTCAAAGAGCCAAAGATTACATTTAGTGCAATACACATAACAAAAGTACCAATGTAATAGTTCATGTTTCAACCACCTTTTCACACTGATTCAGATTTCACCCATTTCGTGTTGGGCTCAGAAGTATACAATTCCAGTCTACTGAACTCTTTACCTCTCAAAAAAACGAATAAAACTGTTAACATATATCAGTTAAAAAAAAGGTTGTGAGGATCGTGGGCCAGCCTATCCTCTAGCCATAGTAACTGTACTGATGTTATAGAATCCCCCTCTTCTTTTGTTAGTTTTCGAGAGATGTCATATTTGCCATCAAAGTTGGCACAGTCACTCAGCTGATGCAACAACAACAACAACAAGATTCCATTTATAAAGCGCCTTTCAAGTCAGGAGGACGTCCCAAGGCGCTGCACAGTTGGGTCATGACCCGAGCAGGGGGGAAATGGTCAGGGTGAGGGGAAAGTTAATATCTGATTTTATATTGAAAATACTAGCCATGAAGGTTTTTGGTTTAATTTCTTTTCTCGAGTACTGCCATTTTGTAAGATTTTTGAGATATCCTCCCGATGTGAAATGCTCTATATAAATGTGTTTGTATTGTATCAAATACCCAACAGGTAGATTTACATGCTATTTGTATCAGAAGAGAGCCAATGTATGAAATTTTAGATGCTGAAACAGTAATTGATGTAGAATCTTTTTAAAAAAGGAATTATAAACATTTTTTTGAAAAGAAAAAAAACCTAATAGGCTAGGGGGATAGGTAGGAAACCGAGGCTATAGGGATAACTCTTAAAGAGAACTTGCTCAGTCAATCTGAGTGAACGGCTTTCTGTGCTTAAACATTCTATGGAAGAGTGTTATGTCAGCAAACTGTAATAATTCAGGATACTGTTTGTAAGCAGTGGGAACTAAACTAGAAACCATAGAGTGACTTCCTCATCACACATTCAGTTAATAATCAAAGAAAATTGGAAAAAGGAACAAGCAATGCACAGGGGAGAGAGGAACTGTTTCTGGCTTCATGGAAACATTTCTGGTTAATAAGCCAAAGCTTGAAAGAAAAACAGAACATTCAATTAAAATAAACAGACAATTTTAAGAACAATTGTAAAAATAAATCTTAATCCACTTTAAATTCACGTCAGACTCCAGGTTTGTTCTGATATTGGTTGAATTTAACTACAGTATTTGACCTGGGCAATGAAGTAGAGAAAGTACAGTTCTTATAAAGCATATAATTGCCTAAGTTGTACATCCACCCAAGTCCCATTCAGTTTCCTATCAAAACTACTTATATTTCTTTGCACTAGTCATATTAATCATCTCCTGACTTACAACGCCACTGCACTATCCTCCACTACTCTCGCATTTACCGACTGTATTGAATCGTGGGAAAGGTAGCCTTGATCCTTCAACACATGCAGAAGAACGTCATTTATTATTATTATTATTATTATTTCCCACAATCCAATGCAATTCCAAAGCTTGCCGAGAAGGGCAGATGCAGCGATGGGTCAAGACCCATTCAATCGTGGGAAATATCAGCTGCAGTGACAATCTTCAGAATGCACAGTCACAAACTACATTGAATTACACATGTGTAGTGTAGATTATTGATTAAATCGGATTTTATACAACTTATACACATTTGCCTGCAATTCATGCTTCAAGCAAGTCATTAAATTTTATGGTCCCCACTGATGCGACTTTTGTGAGTTTACTGTACTTAGCGCCCAAAGCTAGATAATCAGCTCCGAAGCTACTGACTGGCTATTCTATTGGGACTGCCCTTTATATAAACTTCACAGGAGATGTAATAAATATTGAATACGAAACATTCAATCTGCAGGAAGATATAAAAAACTAGTCATTGGAAAATTGACATTTAACCCTGCACTACAGATATACAAATCTCTTTGTATACAAACTAATTTCTAGCAATTCAAAACAAACTAGAACCTGTAAACAAATCGGTTAAATGACGCTTTACAAAATCTTGAATAGACAGTTCCATTTTTTGGTTGTTTCATAATACAATTTTATGTGTTTTTGTTGACAGAAGGGTCACTAAAGCTAATTCTAAGGGACAGATATGGGATCCCTGGTAGGGGAATTTAAAGGTAGCAGAACACCTAGGGTAGTCATCATAACATATTAAGGTTTAGTTTTTGTCACAACCCCATCCCACTTCAACAACAACAACAACACGATTCCATTTATAGAGCGCCTTTCACGTCGGGAGGACGTCCCAAGGCGCTGGACAGTTGGGCCAGGACCCGAGCAGGGGGGAAATGGTCAGGGTGAGGGGAGGGAAGGGATGGAGCGAGGAGGGGGTAGAGAGTCGAGAGGGGAGCTGAAGGCTCGGTCAAAGAGAAAGGTTTTGAGACCGGCCTTGAAGGAGGAAAGGGAGGAAGCGGCGAAGGCATTGGGGGATGGAGTTCCAGAGCCGAGGGGCTGAGAGGCTGAAGGCCCGGCCACCGATGGTAGGGCGGTTGGGGCGGGGGATGTGGAGCAGACCGGAGCCAGAGGAACGGAGGGTACGGGCAGGTAGGTAGGGGGATAGTAGGTCGGAGAGGTAGGAGGGAGCAAGGCCGTGAATGGCCTTGTAGGTGAGGATGAGGATCTTGAAATCGATCCTCTGGGGGATGGGGAGCCAGTGGAGGCGAGCGAGGGTGGGAGTGATGTGGTCCCGAAGCCTGGTGCGGGACAGTACACGAGCTGCAGAGTTCTGAATGACCTGCAGCTTGTGGAGGGAGGTGCCGGGAAGGCCGGCGAGGAGAGAGTTCCCATAGTCCAGCCTTGAGGGATAAAGGCGTGGACCAGGGTTTCAGCAGCGTGAGGGGTGAGGTGGTGCCGTAGTCTGGCGATGTTCTGGAGGTGATGGAAGGCGGTGCCAGTTGTGGTGCGGATATGAGGAAGAAAGGACAGCTCAGGGTCGAACAGAACCCGAGGTTCCTGACTGGCTTTGAGAGGTGGAGAGTGCAGCCTTGGATGCTGATGGTGTCAGCGCCTGAGGTGCGGAGGCGCTGACACGACCCAATCAGGAGGGCCTCAGTTTCACGCACATTGAGCTGAAGAAAGTTGTCTCTCGTCCAGGACTCGATGTCGGACAGGCAGCTGTCAGGACATCGGTGGTCGTGGAGTTGAGGGTAGAGGAGGAAAGGTAGAGTTGGGTGTCATCCGCATACATGTGGAAGTTAACCCCATGTCTGCGGATGATGTCACCAAGGGGGAGCATATAGAGGGTGAAGAGGAGGGGACCGAGGACAGAGCCCTGAGGGACACCGCACGAGACAGTGCGGGGGCTGGAGGAAAAGCCATTCGTGGAAACAAAGTGAAGACGGTGGGAGAGGTATGACCTAAACCACTCAAGGACAGGGCCTTGAAGGTTGAGGTGGGAGGACAAGCGGTGGAGGATAGCGTGGTCGACCGTATCGAATGCTGCCGATAGATCGAGGAGGACGAGGAGGCAGAGGGAGCCCTGGTCGCAGATGGTCAGGATGTCATTGGTGACCTTGACCAGGGCGGTTTCTGTGCTATGGACAGCACGGAAACCCGACTGAAGGGGTTCAAATAATGAATGGGTGGGGAGGAAAGAGCGCAGTTGGGAGGCGACAACTCTTTCAAGGACCTTGGACAGGAAGGGGAGGTTGGAGATGGGCCGGTAGCTTGATAGCTGCGACACATCAAGGGAGGGTTTTTTCAGGGTGGGCGTGATGATGGCAGTTTTTAAGGGAATGGGAACAGAGCCAGAGGAGAGGGACAGGTTGACGATGTCTGTGATATGTGGGGCAAGGAGGTGGAGCTGGGAGATAAGGAGTGGAGTGGGGATGGGGTCAAGGGAGCAGGTGGTGGGTTTCAGGGATAGGATGAGTTCAGTGACAGAGGGTGGGGAAACGGGTACGAAAGTGTGTAGGGGAGGATGGGTAGGAGTTGGAGTGTGGGACGGAGGGAGTGGGGGGTGGGTGGAGGTTGGAGTGGAAGTGACCCCGGAGCAGATTCCCTTGGCTCCCATCCTTCAGCTCAGGTGCCCAACCAGCAATGTTGAGTAGTTTGAGACATCCTTCCGACGTGAAAAAGGCGCAATGTAAATATTGCTATGTTTCTGGGATCACAAAACATTGCTTATGCGGCTCATCGATGTTTCTCAAATTTCTCAAATAGGGCATCTGGCCCGCAGCAGCCAAAAGGTTGAACCACTCTGGTGTATGAAATTAAATCACAGCAGTTAAGATAGAAATAAGGTATTACTAGATAAATTAGCCACACAAAGATGACAAAGCACCAAATATTGTGGACATATTACCTCTACAGGATTGAATTTGACACTGCTGATACTGTCAACTCCCCAAGTAAATGAACGAATTGGGCTGGATCTCTGCTCATCCCAAATATCCACCTGTTGTCCACTTGTGGCAAACAAACCTTCTTTCCAATGATGATCAATTCCTGTGTAAATAGCCTAAGTATAAACATACAAATCACACATTAACCAATTGTGCACAGCAGTGTCCCACAAACAGTGATTATAGGCTTTGTTTTCAAATGGGTAAAAAAACACTAATAAACAATGTGATAATGTTGGGTTAAAATACAGTAGACTATTAAGATGTGCAAGGCTAATTTTGCTATATTCTGTAAACTTATGTTAAGGTACAAATTCATATAATAATAATCCTTGCATTTGATATAGCGCCTTATCACGTCTTTGAGATGTCTCAAAGCGCTTCAGTGAATATACTGTAAAGTGAATTAACTGTGTTTTGTGGGTGAAACATGGTAACCAATTGTGCACAGCAGTGTCCCACAAACAGTGATTATAGGCTTTGTTTTCAAATGGGTAAAAGGAGCTATATCATACACGACGTACACTGTCTGCAGACTCCGCTCCCACACAGGAGAGCAACACATCCCCCCAGATCAGAAGATATAATATTCTAACTTCTCCAACTCTGCTTGGGTTTGGAATATATGGAGGTTTTTTGCAACTAGTTAGTGAAGTCCAAAGTAAAGTGAGAAAGCAGATTCTAGAAAAGTGAGAGAAAAAACACTGAAGCATTTTCATTGGAAATTGCGTGAATTTATTCTTTTCTTTGGAACAAATCGTTGCTGCTCCTCCCTAATTATGGGCACTGAGGTCAATTGTAGTATCCTTATTGCATCCCTCGCTAATATCAACTAACTCAGCACAAACCAGGATTCAAATCTGAAACTTGTTTCTCTGTCGATTCTAGTGCTGCATAAATCTGTTCTTAAAAAAATTCTCACCAATTTCTGACTGGTTCTGACTGGTATCCATGCCTCTACATAGATTTTAACCAAATCCAGTGACCTAGTGACCTGCTGACTCCAAACCAACCTACCTGCTCCCTCCGTTCAGTGGGCTCTGGTCTGCTCCATGTCTCCTGCCCGACCCGCCCTACCATCAGTGGCCGGGCTTTCAGCCTCTCTGCCCCTGCACTCTGGAACTCCATCCCACGGTCGCTTCGCCTCGCTTCCTCCCTTGCCTCCTTCAAGGCTGGTCTCAAGACCCTCCTCTTCGATCGTGCCTCAGTCGCCCTCCCACCTCTCTGTCTTCCCTCACCCCTAGCCCATCCCTCCCCCATGCTTGGGTCCTGACCCCTGACTGTCCAGCGCCTTGGGACGTCCTCCCAACGTGAAAAGAGCTCTATAAATGTAATTTTGTTGTTGTTGGTGGTGTAAGTATTCAAAAAACAGGATCAAAAAACAATGAAAAGCTTCTAGGTGTCCTAGTGAGTAAATGAATCAACAGGTGCAGTATTTCGTTATACAAACCGGAAGCTTGCGGGTTGAAATTTTGATTTATGCTAAATTAGTTGGAGTAACAATGAAGATGTTAAAATTGACCTTAATCCTCTTGGTCTGGAGCGAGAGCGACACAAATCAGGCAGGTTTCTGGTTCCAGATTGCTAACAAATGACTCCCTGCTGAAAAGTACTCCCTTGCTGCACATCCCTGTGTGTTATATACTTAAAATAAACAGAGCCACATACCTTGCCAAGTAATGTATGTATGGGTTCTTCTTCTTCCCCATGTGCAGGGCTCTCCATCTTCCATTGTTTGATGGTCTTATCATCACCAACCTTCAAAACATTGTAATTGTAAAGTTTACTTCAAGCATACTACAGGACAACCCCATTATTACATGCCTTGCTTTAGTACTGCGTGGAGTCCTGTAGCTCAATGGTTAGACCACTCGCCTCACAAGTGAGAGACCTGGGTTGAATTCCTGGCAGGGCGAAACATTGGGCAAGTTTCCTTACTTCACACACCTCTGTTTTTCTAGCAGTAAGGAGGAACCCAGTTGTTAGTCGATTGGCGGATCGCTTTTCCGGGGGTAATAATTCCTTCAAAAAAATTATAATAAATTGGTCTGATAATATTATAATAAAGCGCTCTGAGACGCCGTCCGGCGTGGAGGGCACTATATAAATCCAAGTTGTTGTTGGTCACTTCAATCGACGACTGTCTGTGGGACACTGCTGTGCGCAATTAGCTGCCACGTTTTGCCCACAAAACACAGTCAATTCACTTTACAGTATATTCTGTGAAGCGCTTTGATACATCTAGAAAATGTGATAATGCGCTAGATCAAATGCAAGAATTATTATTATTATTACGACTCTGCTTATTTCTGGTGTTAACTGGCTGGCTCTCTGCTTGTAGTACAGACCCAGAGGGGCCTCTCTGTGGCAGAATCCCAGACATCACCTGAGCAATTGCCAGCTTTTTTGAACATAGGAAGTGGCATCAATGATGGCTATTTCTATCGTAGGCCTCTAATTTTATGGACACAAGGTAATGTGTTATAACAGAGTTGTTCTGCATTCTCCATTGTTTTGTAAATATCAGGATTGCAAAAACATAAACAACTACCCAGGATTTTTGGTCCAACATTGATAGCCACATTGTATGCAAATGTAACTTGAATTGTATTTCCAGGAACTAGGAATGTCACAGAACATTATTTTAGTTTAAAAAGAATGAGATGATGCTCTAGTATTTTAAATTTCTCATTTGTCAAGCACGCAAGACCTGGTACAGCAAATTTAAATGATGGCAACAAAAACATTGATGATAAATGCCTATAATTTTTTTTAACAAAATAAAACCATTAACTGATGAGCAGAATATCTAAATGGAGAAATAGCTAAGTATAATGTTCTACTTACTGAAAAGAACGATGTTCCACAGAATCTGGTACATAGTCCTCTGACAAAGCCTGTGTGAGCTTGCAACGTTCGGAAGCATTCACGCTTTGTCAGGTTCCAAAGTTTTACCTACAATACAGGAAACAAGTTAGTGAATACAAGAACCAAGGTAGTGAGATCCACAGCAAATTCAATACAGTAATTCCCTTTTAAATATCAGGATTTTTACAGAGGGAGGCTATATTTTACATTATTCTTTATAATTAAAAAGTTTTGATTAGTAGGTTCAGTAATAATAATAATCCTTGCATTTGATATAGCACCTGATCACATCTTTGAGACATCTCAAATCGCTTCATGGCATATACTATAAAGTGAATTGACTATAATTGTGGGCGAAACGTGGCAGCCAATTGCGCACAGTAGTGTCCCACAAACAGTCATGGATTGAAGTGACCAATTTATTATTTTGTTTTCTTGAGAGATTATCAGGTGTGTGGAATGAGGAAACTTGCCCAAGGTTTCGCCCTGTCGCGAATCGAACCCAGGTCTCTCGCTCTTGCTTTTTTCCCAATCCTATACATTGCCAGGATTATGAATGGACATAAACTTGCTCTAGGATCTTAACTTTTTACCAACATTTAAAAAAAAAACTATTCCTGTGAGAAGAGTCTAACTAGAAATTACTCCTTTACATTTTCTCTTGTCCAGACTGAGGAGGAACGAGTGATAAGTTCTGAACTGCATCTCAATTACAATAACAATAATGCTTGCAATGTGGATTAGCACCTTTGAGAGGTCTCAAAGCGCTTTTCGGGAATTACTGTAGATGGTAGTGACTGTATGAATTGAAAGGAAGCGCTCCATTTACAGAATGCAAAACCTCCATAATTTGTGATACAAGATTTGCCTTTGTATTACAGAAACAAGGCACAAAAATGTTCTTCAGCACCAACATCCTTTGCCTTGATTAGCACAAAAATGCACCAAAACATTGAAATATTTTTTTTGCGATATTGCAGTAATAATACCCATATTGTTCAAGTACAATTTATATTATTATACCAATATTGGTTCATTGAAAATCCTGAAAAGATCACATATCAGTATCAATTTCACAGGTTTTAAAAGCCTAATGCACAAAATACTAGCTCTTACATTTACATAGCGCTTTATCACAGCGTTAAAATGGTTCAAAGAATTCACTGTTTTTTCAGTAGTGTAGTGATTTTATTTTGCAGGCAAAATCCACAGCCAATTTGTACGCATCAATATTCTCCAAATAGCCATGAAGTTAACGAACAATTTTGTCTGGAGGATTATTGGCCAGTTGAACCTCAATTTCTTTTTGAATAGTGCCACAGGATCAACCACCGGATGAGGCAGACAGTACAACATTTTAACATCTCACCCAAAGAATGATACTTCTGACAATTTAGTGCTCCTTAGCACTGTACTAAAGAGTCGACATAGAAATATGAGTTCAAAGTTCCCACGTGGGAAACCCATAACCTTGATTCAGAGGCAAGAGTGCTATCAACTGAGCCAGGCTGACAACTACAAAATAATTTGAAATCTTACTTTCAGGCAATTAAACAGGATGTGTCTCCCCCTGCAGTGATAAGTATTAATTGCTGGTAAAGCGACCAGGACAGGCAATAGGACGAAAGCTTATGTTGAGATTCAAGACTTGTAGATGTGGGCTGTTGAATGTGAGTGCAAAGATACTTTGTCGTCATAAGTCTTTCTGTCTTCCCCTTTCTGTGCCTATCCCGTCTCCCTGTGGATTTGTTCTTATGACTCTCACTTTCTCTTTTGTCAAGTCTTTTTATGAATTTGTCTGTCTCCCTCTGTCTACGGCAAATTGTCTCACTCACTTGCTATTTTCCTGACTTTTACCACTTATACACTGAATTAGTAACACTGTATTTCTCCATCTATTCCCTGCATCATTCTTCCACACCTCCAACTGGTGGAGGTATCGCTCAATTGGTAAGGATGTGCCTCATAGCAGTGGAAAAGAGGCTGGTGGGAATCCTCTCATGCATTTCAAACTGAATTGTGTTTCTCACCAGGAAGCTCGCAGCGAGTTCTCGGTACCTGCTATCTGCCAAAAATCTGCATTTGTTGGATATCAAATGAATGGCTAGTAACTATCCGCCAGGGAAGGATGCAAGGTCTCCTCAGGGCTGAGATGTTTCTGAGGTACCTGGTGACACAATGTTGGAAGTGAATCTGTGGCTGTCTCAGTAGTCTGATTTCCTAGCCAGGCAGGTCCGCAGTAATCCAAGACACAGACGATGACAGACCAGATAGCCTGGCTCGTTGGCAGGATTTAGCGGAGAATCGAGTCACTGGGGGCAGAGAAACTTCACATTTGGTTTCTGTTAACCCTGCAAGACAAAGCCCTAAAGGATTTGATGGTCCGAGCTGGACAAGGAGTGGGAAGCTTAGCAGACTGTGCTCACAATGGCAAGTCATACGGTTTTTGCTGGTTAATCTCTAATAGTACCACAACACATACTCGAGTCCCTAAACCTTGGTTCATGCCAACCTATGCCAAAAACTTTCATGAATTAGGTAAGCAAAGTGCATTTCTCTGAGGCGACAGTAGTACTCCATTCCAGCCACAGGGAAATTTCCATGTTTAGGTTGCTCAGTCTGAGTTTCGATACACTTAAACCTGGTGATTGATTTTCTGTGTCACACTCAAAGCTGATCACCAAAACAGCCTTGCATGTGACTCACTCATCTTTTAACTCACTTACTTGCATTAAGTAAACTTGTTTTTTTCACTTTCCCCCTTTCTGTCTCCCTCACTCACCTCAGATTCCCCCATTCCCTCACTTTTACGCCACCATTAAATATATAGACTCACCTCTCCATCACAGGCTCCAGAGATTATTGTTGATAAACTCTTTGGGTGTTTAGCCAAACAATGGACTCCATCCCTGTGACCATCAAGTGAAGCTAAAAATGGTTTTGCAAAAACACGTTCCAATTTTGTTGCATTTAAAGCTCTTGTGTATTCCCTTGGGACCTCAAATGGATGTAGTGTAGGATCATAGTTCCTAGGAACTGAAAACATAAAATTTACAATTCAAATGAGTAAGAAAAAAAACTTTGCCATGAAGTTCAATATTTACTAATTTACTTTATTTATATTTAAAAAATAAATCTTCATAACATCTTACAATAATAATCCTTGCATTTGATACAGCGCCTTATCACGTCTTTAGAGATATCTCAAAGCGCTTCACAGAATATACTATAAAGGGACTGTATATTTTGCGGGCGAAATACAGCAGCAAATTGCGCACAACAGTGTACCACAAACAGTCGTGGATTGAAGTGACCAATTTATTATTTTTTTAAGGGATTATTACCCCATAAAAAACAATCCCCCAATCGACTAACAACCAGGTTCCTACTTACTGCTAAGTAAACAGAGGCATGTGGAGTAAAGAAACTTGCCACAAACATTACATATTAAGTTCACCTCAACTCTACAGTTATGTAGTTCCTCCATCTCTGCCACATTGCCCGTCTTCGACCATACCTTACCCTAAATGCAGCGGAAACCCTCCTGCATGAGTTTGTTATCTCCCACCTGGATCACTCAAATGCACTCCTTGCCGGTCTCCCCAGCTCTATTATTCAGCCCAAGAAAGTATTAGGCGCAGGTTGGCAAGAGTCAAAGCTTGGGGACCCCAGAGTGTGTGTTGGGTACTGCTGGAGTCTTAACCAGGTAAGACCTGGTTAAGCTCAGTGTAGATCAGTGATTAGAGCACTCGCCTCACAAGCGAGACCTGGGTTCGATTCCCGGCAAGGTGAAACCTTGGGCAAGTTTCCTTACTCCACACACCTGATAATAATCCCTCAAGAAAAAAAAACAATAATAAATTGGTCGCTTCAATCCACGACTGTTTGTGGGACACTCCTGTGCGCAATTGGCTGCTGCTTTTCACTTATAAATATACAGTCAATTCATGGATTGAAGAGTGGCTAATGGGTAGAAAACAGAGAGTAGGGATAAACGGGTCATTCTCGAATTGTAGGATGTGACTAGTGGAGTGCCACAAGGATCAGTGCTTGGGCCTCAGCTATTTACAATTTACTTCAATGATCGAGACGAGGACATTGAATGTAACATATCTAAATTCGCGGATGACACTAAACTAGGTGGGAAAGTAAGCTCTGAGGATGATGCAAAAAGATTGCAACAAGATATAGATAGGCTAGGGGAACGGGCGAGTAGGTGGCAGGTGGAATTTAATGTGGGGAAGTGTGAAGTTATTCACCTAGGTAGAAAAACAGATTATTTTCTAGAGGGGGAGAGATTAGATAGTGTTAGTGTTCAGAGGGATTTGGGTGCCTTTTTACACTAGTCTCAAAAAGTTAGTTTGCAGGTGCAGCAAGCAACTAAGAAGGCGAACGACATGTTAGCGTTCATTGCAAAAGGTTTAGAGTACAAGAGTAGGGAAGTCTTGCTGCAACTGTATAGGGCCTTGGTGAGACCGCACCTAGAGTATTGTGTGCAGTTTTGGTCTCATTTAAAAAAGGACATACTTGCCCTCGAGGGGGTGCAGCGTAGATTCACTCGGTTAGTTCCTGGGATGAGGGGACTGACCTATGAGGATAGGCTGAATAAACCAGGGCTATATTCTCTAGAGTACAGAAGAATTAGGGGAGATTTTATTGAAACATGTAAGATTCTTAAAGAGCTGATAAAGTAGACACTGAGGGTCTGTTTCCCCTGGTAGGAGAATCTATAACCAGGGGTCACAGTCTTAAAATTAAGGGTCAGCCTTTTAGAACAGAGTTGAGGAAACATTTCTTCACTCAGAGGGTAGTGAATTTATGGAATTCACTACCCCAGAAGGCTGTAGATGCTCAGTCCTTGAACATCTTCAAGGCTGAGACTGATAAGATTGTTTAAAAATAGAGGGATTAAGGGATATGGGGATAGGGCAGGTAATTAGAGTTAGGTCTGAAGATCAGCCATGATCTTATTGAATGGCGGGGCAGGCTCGAGGGGCCGAATGGCTACTCCTGCTCCTAATTCTTATGTTCTTATGTTCTTTACAGTATATTCTGTGACGTGCTTTGAGACGTCTAGAAGACTTGATAAGGCACTATATCAAATGCAAGAATTATTATTATTATTCAAAAAATCCAGTTCATTCAGAATTCTGCTGCCCGCAAACTTACCCGGACCAAAGTCCATACCCACACCTCACCAGTTCTGGCCCGGCTCCACATCACCAAACGGATCGACTTCAAGATCCTCCCACTCGTGTTCAAATCCCTTCACTTCCTGGCACCTCCCTACCTCTCCGACCTCCTCACTCCCCAATCCACCAACCGGTATCTCCATTCGACTGGCACTGGTTTCCTGCTTGTCCCTCGCACACTCCGCTCTATCATTGGAGGTCGCGCATTCAGCCACTACGCCCCAAAACTCTGGAACACTTTCACTCAATCCCTTGACCTTGCCCCCTCTCTCCCCTTTTTCAAGCCCTGTCTGAAAACCTTCCTTTTCACCATGCTTACAGTCCCCTCACCCCCCGCCGCCACCCACCACCACCACCACCAGCTCGGAGTCAGACTCCACCACTGGTAAGTGCTAACCTGTGTGGAGGGCGCTATATAAGTGCAAGTTGTTGTTGTTCAGGGGAATGTACTTTTGAGTTGACCAATTTTAAATTTTGTACCCATCTATGTTTAAAAGGCGTAAGAACAGACCAACAACAACATGATTGCATTTATAGAGCGCCTTTCAGGTCGGGAGGACGTTCCAAGGCGCTGGACAGTTGGGTCGCGACCCGAGCAGTGGGGAAATGGTCAGGGTGAGGGAAGGGAACGAGGAGCGAGGAGGAGGTAGAGAGTCGAGAGGGGAGCTGAAGGCATGGTTGAAGAGAAATTGTGGACAGGCCGGGGTCAGCGCCTGTACCCGTGGCCGCAGACCAATTGTGATGATAAAAGCAGTCCTTTATAATGTATCTGAATCTCTTATAATGTATCTTTGCAGACATTTCTTTCCCTATACCCGTGGCCGCAGCCCGGGGTCAGCGCCTGTACCCGTGGCCGCAGCCCGTGGTCAGCGCCTGTACCCGTGGCCGCAGCCCGGGGTCAGCGCCTGTACCCGTGGCCGCAGCCCGGGGGTCAGCGCCTGTCCCCGTGTCCGCAGCCCGGGGTCAGCGCTGTCCCGTGTCCGCAGCCCGGGTCAGCACTGTGCCCGTGTCCGCAGCCCGGGGTCAGCGCCTGTCCCCGTGTCCGCAGCCCAGGGGGTCAGCGTCTGTGGCCGTGTCCGCAGCCCAGGGTCAGCGCCTGTGGCCGCAGCCCGGGGTCAGCGCCTGCCCCGTGTCCGCAGCCCGGGTCAGCGCTGTCCCCGTGTCCGCAGCCCGGGGTCAGCGCCTGTCCCCGTGTCCGCAGCCCGGGGTCAGCGCCTGTACCCGTGTCCGCAGCCCGGGGTCAGCGCCTGTGGCCGTGTCCGCAGCCCGGGGGTCAGCGCCTGTGGCCGCAGCCCGGGGTCAGCGCCTGTCCCCGTGTCCGCAGCCCGGGGTCAGCGCCTGTCCCCGTGTCCGCAGCCCGGGGTCAGCGCCTGTCCCCGTGTCCGCAGCCCGGGGTCAGCGCTTGTACCCGTGTCCGCAGCCCGGGGTCAGCGCCTGTCCCCGTGTCCGCAGCCCGGGGTCAGCGCCTGTCCCCGTGTCCGCAGCCCGGGGGGTCAGCGCCTGTCCCCGTGTCCGCAGCCCGGGGTCAGCGCTTGTACCCGTGTCCGCAGCCCGGGGGTCAGCGCCTGTCCCCGTGTCCGCAGCCCGGGGTCAGCGCGTGTCCGCAGCCCGGGGTCAGCGCCTCTTGCCGTGTCCGCAGCCCGGGGTCAGCGCCTGTCGCCGTGTCCGCAGCCCGGGGTCAGCGCCTGTGGCCGTGTCCGCAGCCCGGGGGTCAGCGCCTGTGCCCGTAGCCCCATCGTTATGTTCACTGACATTCACACACGTGGGGCCTCTTGAACCAGGATCACAGGCCTTGGCATCGCCCACAGGCCGAGGCTTGCTCACCTCGCTGTATGTCCTGCTTGGTCTCTCTCACATATTGGTCCGAGTTCCTGCACAGCATCTTGACTCTGATACCCGCCATTGCCGGGAGCTGCCCTGAGCACCGAGGCCCGGCGTCAGGAGGAGGCGGCAACTTGTCACGACCAACCGCCGCGGCTCGTGCGCTGCCCGGAGCCTCGAGTCACAGCGTCACGAGGTCACAGGTCACGTCAAGCGTGGTGGGGATGTTTGCGCATGCGCCGGGGTGTACACACGTGCTCCTGATGTTGGTTGCCCTGAAGGGAAACGCCGGGCGGTGTCGCCGGGTTGGGCGGGGTTCACGCCCAATTGGGCGGGGTTCACGCCCAATTGGGCGTGATTTTGTTGAACTGCGCGTGAAAGGTTACGGCTTTTGTTACCTATTTTTTTTAAAAAATATATATATTTTCAAACCTGCAAGACTTATTTTCGTCCCTTTCTTGAAGACCTTTACTTACACAGTTTCAGAAGCACAAAAACCTAAATCGGCCACTACGCTGCTACCCATTGGTTTCGCCGACGCGCTCATATTGGGCTATTTGTTGGGCTAGTATTCGGTTGCCTTCAGGCTACGCACGTGACTTTGCCGTGACGCGCGGCGGCGGGGGTGAGGGAGGAAGGAGGGGGGGGGGCACTGTCAAATGTGTGGGGTCTGCGCCTGCGCACAGCACGCCAACCGCCGCCGACGCGCGCGGTGGAGGGGAGCGAGCGTGGCAGTTGGTGTGTGTGTCGCAGACCCACAGCGCTTGAATGAGAGGGCGGCCGCGGCCCACCCCATGCACAGCCCTGTTTGAATCCACGGCTTGAGCGGCTGACAGAAAGCATGTCTCCCGGGGACGCCCAGGCCGGCCCCGAACGGCCGTCCTTTCGGCTGGTGGACGTGACGAGGTTCTACCGCCTGGTCAGGTACGAGAACCTGGTGGCCGGAGTGAGCGGCGGAGTGGCGGCCACCTTGGTCCTGCACCCACTGGACCTGGTCAAGATCAGGTTCGCAGGTAAAGCCGCGGGGCTCGGTGTTCTGGTTAGACGGGGTGTTGGGGTCTGTCACAGGGCATCGACACCAGACACAGGTCCGCGTGTGTCACCTGCACGTGTGTCGGCGCGGCGCGGCGCGGTGCGGTTGGTAGCAGAGTCGCCTCTTGTCTCGGAAGGGACGTGCGTGTGTTCGTAGGCCCCAAAACAGCAACAGGTTACATTCACACAGCGCCGTTCAGGTCGGGAGGACTCCTGTGGCTCCGGTTGGAGCAGTCGCCTGGCAAGCGAGAGACCCGGGTTCAATTCCCGGCACAGCGACATGTTGGGCAACTTTCCCGACTCCACACACGCCTCTTGTTTACCTCGCAGTAAAATAGGAACCCGGTTGTTAGTGGACCGGTGGATGGCTGTTCCCGGGGTAATATTTCCTTTTTTTAAAAGATTGGTCACTTCAATCCAGGACTGTTTGTGGGACACTGCTGTGCGCGACTGGCTGCTGAGTTTCAACAACAACAACAACATGATTGCATTTATAGAGCGCCTTTCACGTCGGGAGGACGTCCCAAGGCGCTGGACAGTTGGGTCGGGACCCGAGCATTGGGGGGAAATGGTCAGGGTGAGGTGAGGGAAGGGAGGGAGCGAGGAGGGGGAAGAGAGTCGAGAGGGGAGCTGAAGGCACAGTCAAAGAGAAAGGTTTTGAGACCGGCCTTGAAGGAGGAAAGGGAGGAGGCGGCGAAGGCACTGGGGGATAGAGTTCCAGAGCCTAAGGGCTGAGAGGCTGAAGGCCCGACCACTGATGGTAGGGCGGTTGGGGCGGGGGATGTGGAGCAGACCGGAGCCAGAGGAACGGAGGGTACGGGCAGGTAGGTAGGGGGATAGTAGGTCGGAGAGGTAGGAGGGAGCGAGGCCGTGAATGGCCTTGTAGGTGAGGATGAGGATGAGGATCTTGAATTCGAAATCAACAGGGGTGGAGATTAGGGGCAATTGGAGGATGACCAAAGGCACTTTTGAAGAGGATGATCTTGAGACGGGCATTGAAGGAGGCAAAGAAGTGGGCGAGGCAAAGGGGTCCATGTTGGAGTGTGGGGGAAGAAAGACTAAAGACTAGCTGTCGAGAATGGGGCAGTTAGAGCTGGGAACTTGTTGCCACCCAGTGCCTGCCAAACGAGAAGGGTTTGTAAAGGTTTAGTAGGTTGCATTCGCCATCAAAATATACACTGACTAAGTTTTACATTATATCCTGTGAAGTGCTTTGAGACTTCTTGATAATGTGATAAGGTGCTATAGCAAAGGATTATTATAATTATTACACATGGAAATTTCCCGGTGTCTGGAATGGAATGTGTAGTCTCCCCAGGCGGATGCACCCTGTTTACCTAATCCCAGATAGTTTGGCACAGGTTGGCGAGAGCCTACGTTTGGGAACCTCAGAGGGTGGTTGCACTATTGCTGGAGGTTAATCCTCTAAACCTGCACAGCTGGCTATTAGGGGCACTATCTGACAAGCTTCCCACTGCCTGTACAGCTTGGACTATGCTATCTGTTAGGGCTTTGCCATTTTGGATTAACAGGAGCTGAGTGGGAAGAATCCTTGCTCCCAGTGATCAGTTTGCCCTTCCAAGTCCTACTGGCTGGTCTTTCAATAGCAGGGTCCTGGAGTACCACAGAGGCCGTCTTGATTCTGATATTTCATTGTCAAACACGTCATCTTGGATAATCTGTTGTGATGGGCCTGGTGATAGCTGGGTGGAGGGAGCCTGGTGATAGCTGGGAGTGAAGGGCCTGGTAATACCTGGTCAATCTCCTAAACTCCCTCTTTATCCAATTGCTTGGTGATCCCCATGTCTAGATGAAGTGCTTTGAGATTTAATCATTCATGAAAAGTTCTATATAATGGCAAGTTATTATTTTAATACAGGTACAGTGTTTGTTTGGATCATTCCAGTATTATATGTAGTAGTGACCTAGCTGCATTTGAGCTGCTCCATAATTTAGAAAATGGAAACTACAGAGTATTAAGTGACTGAATGTGAAAGAGAAGGATGACAGAAAAAAAGAGATTGGGAAAGAGCAAGTGAGTATGATAGACAATGTCCAAGAGAGAGAAAAATACTCTTGGAGAAGGACTGATCAATGAGAAAGACAGATAGACAGAGTCAGACAGAACTTGCATTTATATAGCACCTTTCACGTAGGGTAGTGGCTCACGGAGAGCTGTGAGTGCAATCAATCCATGACTGTTTGTGGGACATTGCTGTGCGGAATTGGCTGCTGCGTTTCGCCCACAAATATACAGTCAATTCACTTTACAGTATATTCTGTCAAGCGCTTTGAGACGTCCAGAAGATGTGAAAAGCGCTATATTAAATGCAAAGATTATTATATTATTATAGACAGAAAATGAGGAAGAGAAAGGTAAAAACGCATTGATTGAAATGGGAGAGAGACTCATTCACATAGTTATGTTTGCCACCGAAGCTCCCTCCTAAAAATGCTTTTCTCAGGTAAGCCCTCATCCGTATTGCCCATCCTTGGATGGGCTACTTTGCTAGAAGAGTATGATCTAAATCCTTTTTGCTTCAATTAGAATCCCTTTTGATTGAGCTGAGGAATAGCAAAGGATCTGTGCCATCACTGGGTGTATATTATAGACTGCCAAACAGTAAAAGGAAATTGAGAATGAAATCTGAAGACAATTTAGTGACCCTATTAATTATGGGGTTATAATTGTAGGAGTTATAAATAGACTGGACCAAATTAAAAAGTTCTCAAATTAAAAATGTTTAGTAATTATTAAACACTAATATTTGTTTTAACTTTTATGCAGTGAGCGATGGGTTGTCCATGAGACCAACATACAATGGAATTGTACACTGCTTCAGGAGCATTTGGAGGCAAGAAGGAATTAGAGGACTTTACCAAGGAGTCACCCCTAATATTTGGGGTGCAGGATTGTCTTGGGGATTGTATTTTTTCTTGTAAGTAAAATAACCCAAATTGAATTTAAAATAGAAATTCCCGAAATCCATGTTGGAGTGTGTACTTAAAAAATATTCTTAGACTTTTATCCAGAACAATTCAATTGCTGTTTGACAGATTATCCTGTAAAAGATCAAGCCCCGAATGAGCCCCACCAACTTAATGTCAACAAAACTAAAGCCTTGCTGTTTGACTCCTGCCAGTGCCTGTTCACCTCTGGGACTGACCATATCAACGTCCCCAGGTGCTCACTCCAACCCACAGAGCCATTGCTGAATCTCATCATTTTATTCAACCCTCACTTCCTTTGTGGCTTTCACCTGATCTTTGACCAAATCTCCTTCCCACCATTTCTGCAAAATGACCCATCTCTGTCCCTACCTCACCCCCAGTACAACCAAAACACCCTTTTGTCATCTCCAGACTTGACTTACGCAAATCCTTGCTCGCCAGCTCAACCCTCCACAAGCTTCATATCACCCAGAACGCCACAGAAAGTATTCTTTCCTTGCTTCACTGGCTCTCTATTATCCAGCAGATTGATGTAAAGATCCTTGTTTTCACCTTGAAATGCTTCCATTCCTTGCCTGATCCTACTGTATTTTGTGATCCTAATTCTTCCCCTCTCACCTGCTCTGCCAATTCAGGCCTGTTTCATGTCCTCGTGATCTCTGGAACTTTCCCTAAATCAATACATATCACTCTCTCCCTCTCTGTTTTGAAAACTTATCTTCAACCTTCTCTTTGAATGCACATTTAGCCATCTCATTTCTATTTTGCCCCCTCTGTAAAATGCTTTGAGAAGCTTTCCAAATTGAAAGTTGCTATGAAGGACAAGTTGTATTTATTTTTAATTCCTCTTTAAATGCATTACTGACTTCCTTTTGGAGGTCGGCTGAATAAGGTAGACAAGATCATTAAGAGTAGAGATCAACATACAAGCATAGCCTTCAAATTATTGGGATCTGCCTCGCTGTATTCTTTGTATCTGCTTTTACAAAACAGTGACAATAATTGGAACATATTAGTGACTTTCATGTAGGGAGAATGTCTGAAAGTGCTTTACAAAAACTAAATGGGAACCTGAGATGGGAGGGGAGGTGGTTAAAAGCATAATCATCTTTAGATGGGTTTTTAAACCAGGAAATGTGTGAGTGGAGGAGGTGGGGGGATTTTGGAAGAGAAGAAAAGAATTAAAGAATATCAAACTTAATTTGGAAACCGGTTTCCTATTAAGAACCACAAACAAGCCTTTCAAATGAAGTCTTTACTTTAGACAATCATGCATGATCTTAATTGTTAAGATTAAATGTTCTTAAGTGGAATTTCTGTCCTCTTAATATCTTTAAATAGTGTCCAAAGGTTTCAGAAAATGTTCAAAAGAAAGGACGAATTAGTAATTCATGCTGCGTTATGAATAGCTACAGTATCCTTTTTAAGAGGTAAATGTAAATAAATATACTCTTGTACCTTTTTAAAAATATTTCCAATATCACATAGAACATGCCAGTAGCATTAATACTTGATATCCAGATTTTTAGGGGGGAAATTAATTGCCAAAGCATTTCAGATTATAATGATGATCCAAACATTTGGCACAAAATTATTCCTAATATTCCTTATTTTTGAGATTACTGTTTAGTTATTAAATGTAGATGTGCTTGTTTTCAGTTACACTGCCATTAAAGCCTACAAGCAGGATGGTCGACAGACGCAACTTAGTGCTGCTCAGCACCTTGTCTCAGCCGCTGAAGCAGGTGAGTAGTTTCAGAAATGAATCTTAAATTTAAGTGCCGGTAGATAATTAGAACTGACCTCATGTCTTTGTAAGTTTATTAGTTCATTAATATTTGTGAGTATGATAATATAACTGATTGTTGTTATGTTACTCAGTTGCAGTTTACTTCATTCTTTATTCCTATCAGCTGATGTATTAAATATTCTATTTAACATAATATACCACCTACATTTTTATATAATCAGAGTAAATATAAAAAAAAGTAATGTATACATAGAAATAACTTCTACTTTAAGCGTAAATTAATTTCTCAAATGTACCTATATTTTATAGGTGCAGTGACGCTTTGTCTCACAAACCCAATTTGGGTGACAAAGACACGGCTAGTCCTGCAGTATGATGCAGGTGTTGACCCATCAAAGAGACGGTATAAAGGCATGTTTCATTGCCTTTTGAAAATATACCAGAATGAAGGTATCCGTGGACTCTATAAGGTGAGGTAATGTTTTAAAAATTACCCTATCAGTTACACTAGTGATGGAAAAACAATTAGCTTTTTTTTAGTTTTCCCTCTAAGAAAAACAAGACAAATCTGGTTTGTTGACTTTATATGTATCCCCTCTGTGTCACATTCCATTGACCATATCAGCATCCGTGTGTGCTCTCTGAGCAAGACTGTCAAACAAGGAGCAAGTTTGTACCTGCATGAACCAAGTAAACTCAGATCACAGGTGAAAAAACTGCCCCCCCCCATTTTGCACCTAGTTCCCCTTAAAATGTGCTTTAACAAATTGTAAAATGGCCCTGATTTCTGTTTATAGGGATTTCTACCAGGTCTCTTTGGTACATCACATGGGGCTCTTCATTTCATGGCTTATGAGGAGCTGAAGAGGGAATACAATAACTACCAGAAACTGCCAACAGATACCAAGCTGGTAGGCATTATTCTTACAATCATACTGTGAATGAGATAGGTGGTCAGTGAGATCTCCTTGGAACTGGGCTGGCGTGATGTGAATGGTAGCAGAATGTCGTAAGCGGGTACAGTACTCCAAAGCATTGGTGATGACAGACTAGCCATGCCAGGTTCATTGGTCAGACTTGGAGGGGCAAACAATTCTGCAGAACTCCAGACACTGCTGATGACAGCAGTACCTCAACGCACACTCAAGGGTCCCCAGGCCTTTTCTAGCAATGAATCCTGCATCAATAATTGTTCATTCAGATAAATAAATGTTCATTCAGATTGCAAAGCACTTATTTTGTGTTCATATGAATCAAGATAACTATTGACCAACAACCCAGATAGATTCTCTTTTTTCTCTGCCTTGATGTTTCATATAGTAATACAACACTTAAGAATTACAACCTGTAATGTATTTGTTATCACCAGTAATATCACACCATTGATAAATATAGTCATTGTGTGCTATTTAATTGAACTAAATTTGCAACAATTCAGAATTACCAGTAAGATGATTTCTAATGGGTGGGAGGGGGAGTGTAGAACTTTGTGATCAGTGCTTGAAATAGCGTACTCGTCGTTTTTCCCATTCCTGATGTATGTTGCGTATTTTGTGACGTTTTTGGGTGCATGCCCATGCTGCTCATCTCTGATGATCTGCAAAAACCTCAAGATATACCACATGACATAAAAAGACCACATCCAAACCTGTACAAAATGCACCCCTTGCACAGTGGTGACCTGATGTTAATGAGGGATTACTTTTTTGTTCCATCTTTCCCAATAGTTTAGAAATGTTTTACTAATAGATGTAGCTGAAACTGCATTTTGAGAGGGGTTATGTAATTGATCTGAAAGATTTTGCACTTGAATCTAGCCTTCTCATTAAACGTTCAAACCTGAGTTAGTTTAGAATTAAGAATATAGAGCAAAGATTGAAAAAGGACATTTAACTTTTACCTTGTACAATTTTCCCTGTCTATGCTTAAATCATGATCATTACTAATAATTTAGTTTGGTAATAGGGATATGATTCATTCACATGTGTGGGAAAATGACATCTTCAGTATCCTTGAATGCAATTCTCGCCCATGAGTGCAACTGGATGGTTTTTTGAAATATTTCTCAGGTTTTGGTTAACCTGTGAATATAAGATGAGTAGCAATTATGAAACTTAATTGGGGGAAAACATGTTGCCTTATATTTGGAACAATACAGTAAGAGTAAGTTTACGTTATTAATGTCAACATATTCCAGTCCTGAATTATGTCCCCACTTAATTTATTATTTAATTTATTTAATTTGCCCCCTCCTTAGCCTCCTTCAAGTCCTGCAACAAGACCCTCCTCTTCGACCATCCCATCAGCCACCCCCCCTTCCCTTCCCCCGCGCCCCCCCGACCCCAGCTCATGTCTGAAATGCTGTACTCTGTCCAGCGCCTTGGGACGTCCTCCTAACGTGAAAGGCGCTATACATATGTAATCTTGTTGTTGTTTTCTAATGGAAACAAGTTGTTTTTAACTGGTCCTTAGAGCTCAGTTATGAGACTGTAAACTGATGCTGCTGGGTATGGGTATTCTGCAAGACATTGACTCGCTAAAGGGAAGGCTAAGTTAAAATGGGGGGATGTGGTATTGAATATGCTCCTTTCTTGTTCCTTGTATAGATAAATGACCTGATTTTTTTTGGCTCAGTACAAAATAGTTAAATAGACAGTTATCAAATCAGAGGAGACAGCCAAGATCTTTCTAAAGAGAGCTCAATAGGCTATGTACTTGGACTGGTCACAAATGAATGATATTTCAGTAGATACATGGTTGTTTGACTACTAATATTCCTATATTTTTAATTAAGTCCATGTTTAATTAATCTTTTCTCTACTCCAGAATCCCTTTGAATACATAGCTATGGCAGCATTGTCCAAAATATTTGCTGTGTCAGCAACATATCCATATCAAGTAATACGGGCTCGCCTTCAGGACCAACATAACCAATACTCAGGAGTAATGGATGTCTTACGAAGAACATGGAGGTGAGCTTATGAACTGGTGAAACACATACGAATGTTTTAATTTGCTAACAGCTAGATAAAATGCCAAATACAAAAACAGGCCTAACCTGTTATTTGACACAGATTAACTGCCACGATTTACCTCCATAACAATTGTTTTGTGTTAATGTATCTGATCGAGAGAAGCACAAAGCATTTTGAGATGTTTCAGTCAGTTAATGGACTATAAATACATTGGGGTTTGTTTCCGGGGAAAGAATGTTTTGGTTTGTAATAGGAGTTGTAAATCACAGTGATCCATGGAAATCCACTCCAATGTGATCCACTTCTGGTTACTAACAAGAGTTGTTATTGCAAGTTGGGCCCAGACATTGCATGCGAAACGCATTTAAATATTTAATATTGATTCATTGCAGCTTCTATTACCAAGCAGATACTGCTGATGAGTACAGAGTATTAATCATATCAGCTTTTTTTTTCCTTCATCTAATTAATTTAAGATGTTTCCACTTGTGCGGGAGACCAAAACCAGGGGCCATAAATATAAAATAGTCACCAATAAATCAAATAGGGAAGTCAGAAGAAACTTCTTTACCCAGAGAGTGGTGGGAATGTGGAACTTGCTACCACAAGGAGTAGTTGAGGCTAGTAGAATAGATGCATTTAAGTACCCAAGGGAGAAAGGAGTAGAAGGTTATGCTGATAGGCTTGGTTGAGAAAGAGCAGGAGGAGTTTCATGTGGAACATAAATGCCGGCATGACCAGTTGGGCCAAATGGCCTGTTTCTGTGCTGTATATTCTATGTAAGTATCACCCTGGATCAGTTCTGACTTCTCCCTCAGAAGTATGCTCACATCCGAGGCATTCATGCCTCACATCGGGGCTTTAAACTTGTGGTCTATGTAAGTTGATATCCCAATAGGGTGCTGGGGGAACACTGCATTATTGGAGGTGCTGACCTTAAATGAGATGTTAAACTGCAGTACCAACCACCTATTCAGGTGGAAAAATCCAAGACAACAGAGTTTTCTGGTGTCTGGCAGAAATTGTAAATTGTAAAGTAAATTGGTCATTTACTTCATGGCTGTTTGTGGGACATTGCTTGTGAAAATTAGCTCTCATGTTCACCTTCAAAATCCAGCTGCTGCACTTCACAGTGAATCCTGTGAAGGGCTTTGCGATGTGTTTCCATCGTGAACAAATGATGGTTTCCAGCCCATATAGACGGTCTTCAACGATAAACTGCACAGGGAGCTACCTGGCGGCTAAATCTTGTTTTATTTCACCTTCATTTTGATCCAGGAACCAAAATAACTACCTGTAAGTACAATTTTATTGTTCAATCTACTGAAACAAAACTTTTTTTTCAGGAACGAAGGGGCTCATGGATTTTACAAAGGAATCATTCCTAATGTGCTTAGAGTGACTCCTGCGTGTTGCATTACGTTTGTGGTATATGAGAATATATCTCGTTTCTTATCTGGTTTCCAACAATCATAATTCATTGGACTGTTGTGAGAAGTTGAATCACTAAGGTATGATGTACAAGGTGTGAGGAAATCAACTTGTTCTCATATAAGCACCTCTGCAACAGATCTATTTTAGGTCTCCAGCTCTTCAAATTAGTGATATTTTGATTACTGCTCTTAATTTATTTCTGTTTTGTAAATCTGCAGTGGTTGCAGGCTATGACATGACTTACAAGTTTGAAGTTAAAGTACTATGTAAGATAGTTTTTAAAGTTTTAATTTAAATCATTTAATTTTCAAGAGTCTGTATAAAACACAAGCAATTAACATTTTGCAAGCAATAGTTACAACGAATAATAATAATAAAACTATCAGCCTGCTATGTTGTTGCAGGGATCTTTTGTAATAAAGTATTTTAAATATATTTTGTAACATTATGCAAAGTTGATGGAAATTAAATGATATAAAGTGTAAATAAAGATAATCATGGTTGACTTGGAGAAGTTTGTTTAGACTGGATCAATTCTCAAGCCTATGGGACATTGTGATGCAACTGAAGCTAAATATTGTATTCCTGAGACTTTTTCCTGGTTGCAGATCTGAATAAAGTTTTAAGGATGTCTGACTTAAGTTTCTGATCACAAAAGTGAAGGATTTGACTTTGTTACCTCAGGCACTATTGATTGCATGTGGGGTAGCATTTGGAGCATTTAATTACAGTAGTGCCAGATGGAGATTCAACATTTCTGATATGCTCGAGATTTTCCCTGACTTTTACCTGTGTATGGACTATCACCAATACAACAGCAACAACAAGTTGCATGTATATATTCACTGTTAAGAGGAATAAGTTGTAGTTCTGTTGGCGGGTGGACCTTCCCCATGCTGAATATAAGTGGAAGGAAGAAATCTATGAACACAAATATCAGCACAACCTATAGCACATGTTTTTTTACTTTTTTTTAAATCAAATTTCTATTGAACAAATATCTCAAAACTGGAATAGTTGTAGAAACCGGTCTTACAACACACATAGGATAACTATTCTAAGAAAAGGCTATTTGCAAGCTATCCATGCATATTACTCCTCAACATGCTGTTTTCAATTTTGCAAAAGTACAAGTTTGAAAAATCTTGTAAATAGACATCATATTTTGTTAAGCATTGTTAGACAAAAAGCCTTAAACTTAAGTGTGTTAGTTTTGCGTTATAATATTAATGAAAGAGCCTTGGAACAGTTTTCCGTGCAACATCAAAGCTATTTTGGCAGCTCCTCGATGATAAGTCGCGACACCGAGTTCCAGCCAGTTGAAGCATCTCCTTGTGGGTACCCATCTGAACACGTACCAACCCAGACAGAAACGTCCACCAGTCCAGCAGTGATTCCTTCACAGAGACCTTCCACTGGTAAAAAGTTAAAAAAAAGTGTTAAAGATTGGTACAAACATGTAACTTTGATTATTTTTCAACAGGGCTGTATAGAAAGAACCTTTCCTTATGGTAGATATCAGCGTGGGACTCATTGCATTGTACATACGTAGCAGAATTATAGGTACTTGTTTTTTTCAGTTTATTGCTATTAATCTGCTGTTTCAATGATAATCCTAATCTCATTATTTCACAAGGTCAGTTTTGGGCAATAGTTTTAATCCTCTGTGCAGGATTTTTTTTTCATACTATTGTACTTGAAATAGCAAATTGTAATCTTATACATTTTCCCCTCCAATTTTCTATTTCTGTCTCCTAAAGATGGTGATTCCTGTGCTCCCAAATGTGGCAAGTCTATGGTACCTTGCGTAGGTGCCACTCACTTTGTGAGCCGAGTCAGCGGTTTATTCAACCAGGAATAAGGGAAGGAATTGAGGGAGAATCCCGGCAAACTTTTTATTATTCTTCTGATTTCTACACACATAGACATTACGAATAGGGGACTTTAGATCGTGATTTTCTTTATTTCCACCCTTTCTTAGCAGAGATCAATGAGTTAGCCTAGCCCTTAATGGACTACATGGCTCATTACGATACTATGGACTACATTTATCTATTGGGGGAGTCGTTACCCTCTTCTCTTTCCCCCAACCCTGTTTTAACACATTTTTACATGTGTTTTCATACAAACCTGAAGATGTGCGATGGATATTAATGGTGGAGTTGAATTCTGGGCTTCCTTGATCAAGGTAGATGATTGCTTCAATGGGCAGTGGACCATGGCACTCTGCTCCATTAAATGTGAAGTACCAGCGCTGGCAGCAAGCACTTTTACATTTTAGGCGAAGTGAACCCGTGAAAAGTACTCGGAGAGCACTGTCTGTACGCGTCTTGGTGAATGTACATTCCTGAAGCAAGGGATAAATTACAATAAATATCTATTGCATGTGCTAAAATTAAATCTGATAAAGAACATTTTCTTTTATCAATTTCCAATCCAATCCAAACAGGGCAAACAACAACATCAATAACAACATGATTGCATTTATAGAGCGCCTTTCACGTTGGTTCGGGACTCACTCAAGTCACTCAAAAAAAAACTTAATGTGTTGTCAGTGCAACAGTCTAAATTTCATCATTAGTTGTTTACAATTTACCGCAAATCAACAGTTTAGGAAAACAGTCTTTTCTGAAATATAATGCAATTTTTGTATTTTGTAAGTTTGGACTTGTTTTAAAGTATGTGTTGATCAATGCTTTCCAGTAACTGCAACTAACAATTAAACAAAGAGTCAATGTGGCTCTTCATTGAATGGAAAGCTCACTTATCTGGTGGAAGTCAATCATGAGAATAACTGGAAATCAAGGAAATATTGATTGCCATCCCCATAAAGAAGCACTCTTCAGCACTTGTTACGGAGCTGGTATTTATACCCAATCTCCCAGTGACTAGTCGGAGTTTGTTGAGTTGGAATGACAAAACCATTATCCCATCCCGTTTATATTGAGTAAAATACGGGCAACTCAAGAAGAACTGAAACTATTGACCACAAGCTTGCAATTGACGACACCCCAAAGCCAGAAGTCAGAGTCATATAAAAGCACTTATATATAAAAAATAATAATCCTTAGATTTAATATAGCACCTTATCACGTCTTCAAGATGTCTCAAAGCGCTTCACAGAATATACTGTAAAGTGAAATGATTGTATATTTGTGGGCAAAACGCAGCAGTGTCCTACAAATAGTCGTGGATTGAGTGACCAAATTATTATTGTTTTGTTTTTTTGAAGGATATCCCCGGAAAAGCGATCCGTCAAATGACTAACAACTGGGTTTCTACTTACTGCTAAGTAAACTAATAAATAACAAAATACTAATAAAGACAAAATGTTTGTCCGTGTGTCTGTCTAACCAATTGACGTAGAGCTATGAATAAACCTTATTATAAGTAACATAACATGCAGGAGTAGGCCATTCGGCCCTTCGAGCCTGACCCGCCATTCAATCATGGCTGATCTTCTAATCTAACTCCAGCTAATAACCTGACCCTGCCTTATCCCCATATCCCTTAATCCCTTTTGCAATAAATATATTATACCTTATTACACCTCATTGGAAAGGTCTTGCATGGGTATATTTTGGGCATTTTTTTCACACTTACGATACTGCATTTATGTAGCGCCCCTCACGCAGGGTAGCAGCCCAGAGAGCTTGACAGCAGCGGAGCACCATTAATGTCACTCAGCGGTTTTGTTTTAGGTGTCTGTTTTTATCAAATATCCCCTTCCTGCCCCCCGCATACATAACCAACACCAAACATGAGTACAGTCTTAAGTTGCATTTGTACAGCTGGAATTGAAACTGTTTTGCTCCCAACAGTAGAACACTATAGTATGTTCCCTCCATGTTCCCACTACCTCTTTCCTAAGGCAGCTAACACTGCCATCTACACCTCCATCTTCAGGCTTGATTACTCCAATGCCCTGATTGCCAGATTCCCAAGCTGCATGCTTCACACTCTCCTGCATACGATCCAGAACTCTGCAGATCATGTCCTCTCCTGCATCAAGCTCATCACCCCCATTCTAGCTTGACCCACATACCCCAGCAGGTCAAATTCAAGATTCCTGACCTCACTTTCAAATAATTGCATAGTCTCACCCCACCCAACCTTAGTGATCTGCTACCCTGCTCCCTCTGGCCTTCAAATCCCACCTAAAGACCCATCTCTTTTTGCCTCCTTTCCCCACCCCATAACCTTGACAGATCAAGACTTTGTTTTCCGTAATTCAATGCAAGTGCGCATGTGTCGACGGGTTAATACGTCATTTCTCGTGATTCAATGCAGCCAGTAAGTGCGGGTGTAATGGGGGTTAGGGGAGTGGCATTACGAGTTAGGAGGCGATTAATACAAGTAGTGCAAAGAAATCTACGTGGTTTTGATAGGAAACTGAATGGTACTCGGGTGAATGTATGACTTATACAGTTTATAAAGATAAGACTTATTCAAGTTTTAATGTACTTTCTTTACTTTATTGCCCAGGTCAGATACTGCAGTGAAATTGCACCAATATCAGAACAAACCTGGATTTCAACATAAATTTAAGGTGGATTAGGATTTATTTTACAATTGCTCTTAAAATTCTTTGCATTTATTTTAACAGAATGTTCCATTTTTCTGTCAGGCTTTGGCTTATTAACCATAAATCTTTCAATGAAGCCAGAAATAGTTCCTGTCTCCCCTATGCATTGCTTGTTTCTTTTTCCAATTCTCTTTGATTATTAACTGAATGTGTGATGAGAAAGTTACTCTTTACGGCTGCTTTATGGAGAGTGACGTTACGAGTTAGGTGATTAATGCAAGTAGTGCAAAGAAATCTAAGTGTTTTTGATAGGAAACTGAATGGGACTCGGATGAATGTACAACTTAGGTGAATATATGGTTTATAAAGATGCAAGTTTTACTGTGGTGCAGCGTGTTTGTAGGGCAGTTTATATTATGTTTATATTGTGTTTTATAGTATGTTTTTACTGTGGTGCAGCATGTTTATAGAGTTTATATTTAGTCTTTATAGTGCAGTATGTTTTAAAGACTTGTTTATCGTATATATTTATATTCTGTGTTTATAGCCAGTATATTTCTGGGACTCTTTATATTGTGTGTTCAGATTCTGGGTTTATAGTGCAGGGGTGTAAATTCAACTGTTCCTCAAACCAGCTACTTCAGGTTGTCAGGAGTGGGGCTCCAGCCTAAACCATTGACTTAATCTCGATTTATAGAATTTCCACTGATCGGCTACCAAACTTGCAACATTAATGCTTGCTTTAAATCATAATATATCCTTGCATTTGATATAGTGCCTTATCAAGTTGAAATTCTCAAAGCACTTCAGAGTTTTTCTGTGAAGTGAATTTGTAGGCCAATTTACAAATCCTAAACAAAGTATTATTCTGCACCTAGCTACAGTATTAGATAGGATTTGCAGCACAGATGTTTTCAACTTGCAAAATACAGCCAGTCTAATAGGGGGCGAGATCTGTTCCATTGAGCTGGAATTTCCAGCTAAATGTAATTACAATGCAGGTACTGATATTTACCGGGTTTTATCAGTGTCTGCTTTTTTCAATGCCAAAAAAGGCATTGTAAATGTTTGAATCCCGCAAGCAGAAGATAGCAAATAAACCAAGGCCAGAAAGGTAGAAATTCCAGATATCTGATAATATGGGGTTCACTGTATTTAGCTAAACGATTTGCAGATTATTCACCGGACATTCAAACTAGGATGAAGATACTGAATAATGTCGTTTTTCTTGTACTTTCATGTCGAACAGACTTCAAATGACTGGATTAATTTCAGGGTAAATTACCTTTAAAAATGCCATGCAAAACGGATCTTAATGGTTTATATAGGAAAAGTTGCCATTATTTTAAACTAAACCTAACCAGATGTTAATCAGATGTAAATACGTATGTAAATACTTTAGGTTTGATGTAGCACCTTATCAGGTTAGTTGAGAAGTCTCAATAATATCCCAAATGTGAAGCTTCTGGAACCCATAATGGAGCGAGAATCAATTATTCTTCATTATTTTCTCTTATTTAAATGTATTTCAGAACACATGCCAGTATAGTCGTGAGTTCAATATGGATCACAGGCGTATATTATACCTGGTTTACAATGCTCAAAAATATTATTGGCCCAAGTTTGCAAATAGCAGTTAATATTTATTAGAAGACAAAGGATAGTTCCCAAAGTATTGCTTCATTTTTAGAAGCTGATTGATCCGCTAACCAGTATTTCTATTTTAATTTCAGATTTTCAGCATTTGAAGTTTTGAATCTCTGCCACTGGAGGGCGCAGTCTCGGCTACAGAAACTGCTTCCAAAGCTTCTCAGTATTTTAGAAATATTCCCATCGATCACTGTAACAAGGTTCCCTATTGTAAAAGTCTGCTCAATTTGACTCCTTTTCCATCTGAACACTGTAGTTTGTGGAATGGAAAAAGGAACAGAAATATAATTAAAATACCTAAACAATAAACAAAAATCAGTTAATGTGAGCAAAAACATTAAATGTGGTATTATGAAAACATTATACCGAAGGAAGTTATGTAAAAATGTAATTTAAAAGAGAATTCAAAAGTTCAGATAAGCTTCTTTGTTTAAAAGCNAAAAAAATACAGTATAATGTAAACCCCTTCGGATCTCACCTTCAGCTTGGATGCCAAGCCAGGACCGTTAAGTCCCTTGAAATGTCCTCCTGACATGAAAGGCGCTATATAAATGTACATTTGTATTCCCAGATTATGCTGGGGTGTTTGAAGTCTTGTATGAGTATACCTTTTTATCCCCAAACAAACTGTTAATCTTTATATATAATTTTGGTAGAGACCATTCCCACATTTTGAATTTCTTCCTTTGACAAATGATAGATCAAAATGTATAACTTACACAACTGTAACATATTTTGTAATGTATAAATGTAATGGAAATTTCCTGGAAATTTCAAGAGAAACTCCAAAAGAATTAATGGCAATCCAAAACTCTCCTGGCCAATCCCACACTTCGGCTGTCTCACAAAAATAGCATTTACAGATTCCTCCTGTGAGTATTGAAACAACTCAGAAAACCACTTCCGCACAATGAACAATTGTACAGTACCCAGCATTAACTATTATAAGGCTTAAAGACCTACAATAATTGAACTTTATAACCGCAACATACAACTTGATAAATACATGAAAATAAAACAAATATTCCCTTGCCCCAATCGAATTGATCCACCACATTCCTATATGTGCATGTGGACTGTTTAGCACTTTAAAACAACTGAGAAATGCACCTCCTGAAATATCCAGTGCACCCTCCACTGTGTGACAGAATGAAAGAAAGAGTGAGTGTGACAGAGAGGAGGGAGGGGCAATGGGAAAATGATGCCTAGCTGTGTTTCCTCTATAGGCATATAGAATGACATCGGCAGTGCTTCCTGGATATATATGCACCGTGCAGGAAGCATACCACGTTCCTGATCTGTAGTAAACCCATGTTATAAGCAAACCTACACCAAACTGGAGCATGTTAATAACTGTCTCGCCCTGTAGATTAAATTCCTCTAGTCTAGAAAGATAGTTTACGTACAATACCTCTTTACTACACCTATTGACAAACTTTTTCACATAGCTCTCAAAGGCCACATTGGAGGTCATGTCTGGCCAATCTTTACTTATTGGATTGGATATTGTTACGTTTCTTAACAGATTCAAAGGAATGTCGTACAATTGGTTAAATATTGCAATTTTCGCGGTCTTATAATAGTTCTTGAACTTCATAGAGTGCCTCATCATGTCATCAAGATGTCTCAAAGCGCTTAACAGGAAATACTGTAATTTTATGGTCAAAACACAGCAGCCAGTTTGCGCAGCAATGTTTCACAACTTCCATTTCATAAAATATATTCTATCTGTTGATAGAAAAATAATAATAAATTGGTCCCTTCAATCCATGACTGTTTGTGGGACACTGCCGTGTGCATTGGCTGCCGTGTTTTGCCCACAAATATACAATCAATTCACTTTACAGTACATTCTGTGAAGCACTTTGAGACGTCTAGAAGACGTGAAAAGCACTCAATCAAAAAAAGGATATATGCTGTAAAATTGGATTGGTCAAATAATTTGAAATGATATTACTGTCATATACATGATATTTAAACTATCTTAAGCAACCTCACTTACCGCGATTTTGCCAAGATCAATGCCATAATTGAGTGAATTCCAAGCACATTGTTTGTAGTTGATTTTCCAGGGCTCCTCCAATATCTCCCGTAAACACTCGCCTTTCTCTCCCTTGATCCCATCCCGTCCTGGAATACCTGGTGTCCCTGGGATCCCATTCGTTCCAGGATTCCCCTCCCTGCCAGGAACACCTGGTAAACTCCGCATACATGCGCCATTGTACTGCAACAGAGGAAAGAAAGCGCAAATTACCTTATTGCAATTGCAATCAACCACAATAGTACTGAATACACCATTTGGTTTAAAATAAAAGAACCCTTTTCTACAGAAACATTTTCGGAAAACACCAACATCTGAAGATTTATGGAATTTATTTGTGGTCACCATCCATACTACTCCTCAGAACAAATATTTATTAATAAAATAATAATTTCTATATTATATACAAGAAAAATATAATAATCCTTTCATTTGGGATAACACTTCACATCAGGAGGACACCTCAAAGAGCTTCACATGATATATGTAAAATGGAGTGACCGTGTGTTTCCTATAATCTGAAATCAACTCAAACTGCATTTATGTATATATATATATATATAGTTATCAAATATAGTGACTATATTTATAGGGAGGAAGAGTAGCTAATTTTGTACAAATCGAAAAGTGCCACAAACAGCAGTGAAGTGAATGACTGAAGTGTTGCCAAGGACAATGGGAGAAATTAACTTCTCTTTTTCAATAGTGTCATGGGACTTTTAATATTGCCCGAGCAGCTAGGTAGGACTTCAGTTTAATATCTCATACAAAAGTCAGCATCTCAAACAACGCATTGCTCCTCAGTATTACACTGGAATATCAGCCTAGACTGTGAGTTTGAACCTTACAACTTCTGACTTAGAGGCACGAGCGCTATCCGCATTTCCAAGCTAACAAGCAGAAGAAGAAAGAAACCTTACCTCAATAAAATGCTTCGAGGAACCCCTCCCCTATATCCTGGGTAACAGATGGAAACTAATCAGCCAAAGGTTTGGGATTCAAGCACTTGTTGAGTTCTACAATTTATTATTGTTGCCAATGTTTAATTCATTTGTCATTAAAGTTTTACATACTGCACAGTAAATTAGATGACTAATCTTGAAACGATTAAACATTTCTCCTTATCCCCCTCTTCTTGCTCAGTAGATAGAGCACTCGCTTTGCAAGTGAGAGACCCGAGTTCAATTCCAGACAGGGCGAAACCTTGGGCAAGTTTCTTTACTCCACACGCCTAATAATAATCCCTCCAAAACCAAAAACAATAATAAATTGGTCATTTTCAATCTACGACTGTTTGTGGGACATTGCTGTGCTCAATTGGCTGCCGCGTTCGCCCACAAATATACAGTCCATTCACTTTACAGTGTGTTCTGTGAAGCGCTTTGGGACGTCCTCCCGACGTGAAAAGCGCTATACCAAATGCAAGATTATTATTATTCTGTGAAGCGCTTTGGGACGTCCTCCTGACGTGAAAAGCGCTATATCAAATGCAAGGATTATTATTATTCCTCCCCACTCTTCCTCCAATCAACTTCAGCATATTTGGGCCTGAAAAAATCTCTACTACATTCTTGCTCTCAAGCATGGAGACTGGCAATTTGAGCTAAAAATAAAACATTGAATGAATGCTGGGATCTGTGAGGCAGCTGGTTCACTGGGTGGCTCAATTACTGCAGCAATTTTTTGTGAGAAACCATTTGAACATGGAGTCTACTCCTAGAAATGTCCCAATAGAAAGTTACCAATGTCCCCCACGTTCATTTTCAACGAGGATATCTCCAGAGCAAAATATGTCACAATGTGATAATTATCAAAGGTGTCAGCTTGGCTCAGTCAGTAGAAATTTTTTGATTATGGGTCAGAAGGTTATAGATTCAATTTCCACTTCGGGATTCTAAGCTTACAACCGAGGCCAGGGAACAGCATTGTCAGAGGTGCTTTCCTTAGATATTTTTGTGCACAAAATATACAGTTAATTCACTTAGGGTTAGGGTTATATAACAATATATTATCCACAATATATTCTGGGAAGTGCTTTGACATGTCTCGAAGACGTGATAAGGCGCTATATCAAATGCAAGGATCATTATTATATGACATTAAACTGAGGTATGATCTGGCACGAAACTAGACATGTAATAATAATAATAATCCTTGCATTTGATATAGGCTTTTTTATGGCTTTGAGATATCTCAAAGCGCTTCACAGAATATATTGTAAAGTGAATTGACTAAATATTTTGTGGGCAAAACACGGCAGCCAATTGTGCACAGCAGTGGCCTATAAACAACTGTGGATTGAAGGACCCAATTTTTTTTAAAGTAATTATTACCCCTGAAAAAACAATCCGCCAATCGACTAACAACCGGGTTCCTACTTACTGCTAGGTAAAAAAATGTGTATGGAGAATGAAACTTGCCCAACATTTTGCCCTGCCAGGAATCAAATCCAGGTATTATTATAATACATAATACTAATGTATTATTAGAAGCTGGCTAACCTGAGGCTTTTCCATCTGGAACAGACAATTATGAGGCTAAATGGCTTTCTACTGTGCTGTCAATTTTCACTATAGAAAGAGGAGATTGAGAGGCCAATAGGAGGTCAAGGATATGAGGAATTTAAGATTCTGAAGAGAGGGAGCAACCAAGTGAATCGAGAAAACGTATGTTTAGTTAGAGATTCAGTGACAAGGGTGTATAATCTAAGGAGCAGAAGAATCAAGGAGAGGAGCAGTTAAAAGGAATCTCTTCAGCTGTGTGTTGTTTGGGTGCTGAATTTATTACCACAAGTGGTTATTGAGGCTGGATCAATAGAATAATTCAAAAGGAAACAGTATACACACCTGGAGAAGTAGACATTAAGGGAAATAGTAAAAGAGCTGGTTTAATAATTAAAAAAGAGTGTTTTTAAAGAAAACATAGGTAGCAGTGATTAAGATAGGACAGACTGTCTTGTGCTAATACATTTTGTTGCTATGCAATGTTGTCAACAATGGCTGCTTGTTCATCTGGTCTTTGAAAATCTTATAGTATTATTTTAAGGGACATTTACCTGATCTGCTGCCCAGTAGGTCTGCCTTCTGCAAATCCGGTAAACAACAGATTAATTGATTTTACAGCTCATTGCTGGTTGTGAAAGGTTGATGATTTACTGCCACATTTGCCTGAGTAACAACAGTCTATGTACACTTCAACATACTAACTCATTGTGTTGAGTGTTTTACAGCATAAGGTGCTAAATGTAACTAATGCAAGTGTTATTTAATATTATGTCGATTGAGAGTTGCAAATAAGATTTGGAATAAACAGGCTGGATTGCTAAACTTGCTTAACCTCGAGAGTTTTGCTGAAAAGATGCGGTCATCGTTGCAACTAACCAACATCCAGTCTGCAAAGCTTAAGTGATTTTTTTCCCCCCAACAAACTTTTAAGGTTCTGTGCTGCCAGTTGTTTTGCCAACACTTCGTTACTGTTAAATCCTCCCAGTGGAAGGAAATCCTTTACATTGTGAAGCTCCAATTGAACTGAAGGGAAGCGTGTTGATGGTTGTTTGGTTGGTTATCTCTGGCTTGTAAATAATATACAATACACAGGGCAGGATTGATTCTCAATTGAGGAACATGTTCCACTAGAACTTTGTTGTGAGGAGCAGATGGCGTTTGCTTCTCAGAAGAATCAATGAGTGCCAGCAGTTTGGGAAGCTATGACAAGGAACCCTTCCTGTACACAAAGGCATTTTTGGCAAAAAGAAAAAGAAATAAAACGAGTTACCTTTTCCAAGAAGTCCTCCTCTCGCTGACGAGCGTTCCTTCTCTTCCCTGGTTCAGCAGCTGGTGAAGGTGAAGGCAGGACAAGGCAGGTGAGGAGCACCAGGACAGCCACACAGCCCATGTTACCAGAGCAATGGAAGGCGAGGGGAGCAAAGCCGAGTCTGAGCGCCAGGCGGGCTACAAAGGAATCACAGTCTGCTTCAGATCACCAACATCAAACACAAATCTGCGGGGATCTCTGGAATTTCAAATGCAAACACTGACTCATTTCTGAAATGTACAGCTGCACTTCACATCAAATAAAGGCAGTGAGAGTTTGAGAGTTTCAGAACTCCAGATTTGCAGGGAGCTCACACACACACACATACACACAGAGGGGGAGGGAGACAGCATACAATTCAGGATGCAATGCAAATAGAGGCAAGCCATAAAACATAGTTGTGGTCAGGAAAAGGGTCTGCTCAGAATACACTGTGGTCTCTCAGTCATACCCGCTGCCTGTTTGTGAACAAAGATTGGTCTGTGCTCCTTCACCGAATGAATGAATGAATGAAGCATTTTTAAGTTGTGATAAACGTGGCTTGTCAACAGTTTTGGACAGAAAACGAGCCACAAATGATAGAATACCTAGTAGTCTAGCTTCAAGAATAGGGTTATCACAACATTTTTAAAAAATATATATAAGTACAGTGTTGCCTGGACACATAGGCAATTGTCTTCTTGCATAGTTGGTGGATAGTCACTGATAATCTGTGACCAACCCACACACACTGCTGAAAAGTGCTTGTTCTATTGCCCCACTGTAATGAGTGTCTGTGCCACTTGCTTGGATTTACTAGTGACTGTCATCTTTGGGGGGAGGGGGGGATGGGAGAGGAGGTAAGTGAGGTCTCCTTGGACAAAATGGGCCCCAAAGTGACATGCTCAGCAACCGAATATCAGAATCGAGCCAGTCCTCTGTGGTGGTCTCACTAGTCCAGTTCCTGAGCCAGGTGGGTCCACACTATTCCAGGGTACTGCTGATGGCAGTGGAGTCCTGTAGCTCAGTGGTTAGAGCACTCGCTTTGCAAGCGAGAGACCGGAGATCAATTCCAGGCAGAGGGCGAAACCTTGGGCAAGTTTCCTTACTCCACACGCCTAATAATAATCCCTCCAAAACCAAAAAAACAATAATAAATTGGTCATTTGCAATCTACGACTGTTTAATAATAATCCTTGCATTTGATATAGCGCTTTTCACGTCGAGAGGACGTCCCAAAGCGCTTCACAGAACACACTGTAAAGTGAATTGACTGTATATTTGTGGGCGAACGCGGCAGCCAATTGCGCACAGCAATGTCCCACAAACAGTCGTAGATTGAAAAAGACCAATTTTTTGGTTTTGGAGGGATTGATTGTTTGTGGGATATTGCTTTTTGTGGGATTATTGTTTTTGGTTTTGGAGGGATTGATTGTTTGTGGGATATTGCTGTGCGCAATTGGCTGCCGCATTCGCCCACAAATATACAGTCAATTCACTTTACCGTGTGTTCTGTGAAGCGCTTTGGGACGTCCTCCTGACGTGAAAAGCGCTATATCAAATGCAAGGATTATTATTATTATGGCTGTACAGCCAGCCTGGCTCATTGACTGTGCTGGAAAGAGAAGTGCCTTTCTCATGGTGTCCCAGCCAACAATCCTTCAGATATAAAATGGCTCATAGCTGTTTGTGGAACATTGCTGAGCACAAATTGGTTGCCACATTTTTAATAATCTTTGCATTTGTTATCCTACTTTTCATGTTGGGAGAATTTTTCAAAGCGCTTCACAGTTTTTACAGTAGAGATTTCAAACCAAATTGTTCTTTACTCGTACATTAACTTATATTGATACAGTGCCAAATTAATAGATATCAAAATTTGTGTTTAAAATTGACCAAATCCCAATATTAATGCACTGTATTCCTGTCAGTAACAGGAATGAATAAGACAGAGCAAGGAGTGCTGACATCCTAAGTTTAAATCATATTGTGCAGTTCAGGGATCTGTGGTTACAGTTAATTGCAAATGTTCTAAGTGAATCACAACTCATCTAAAACATCAGCATTTCCATCAATTGACAAAAGGAAAATCATGGATGGACTGGTATTTTTTAGGATAATTGTCTTGGCTACATTTTTTAAATCCAAAATAAACTTAAATGTCTAATACCATACTTTTAAGCTTACTGCATCAGTGGTTTTTTTTCCCTGTAATTACAGAAAACAACCTCATAATTAAATCATAGGACATACAAAACTGGAAGGAACCAACAGTTTCTAACTTCAACAATCCTACAGAGCATCTTCTTCCAGCCTCTTTCCAAGCAGCTTATTTTGCTTTTCTGCTTAGTCTCTTCTTGCTCCTCTTCAAACACACCTATGGCCTAATAATAATCCCTCCAAATAATAATCCCTCCAAAACTAAAAACAATAATTAAATTGGTCATTTTCAATCTACGACTGTTTGTGGGACATTGCTGTGCGCAATTGGCTGCCGCGTTCGCCCACAAATATACAGTCAATTCACTTTACAGTGTGTTCTGTGAAGCGCTTTGGGACGTCCTCCCGACGTGAAAAGCGCTATATCAAATGCAAGGATTATTATTATTATTATGGCCGCCTCCCACCTCTCCCTTGACCGATCGATATCAATCCCATCCCTGTAAGGCTTCCAAGACACCACCCTATCTGAAAGGCGCTATGTAAATACAAGCTGTTGTTGATGGCCCTCCCAAAGAATCATTCATCATATAGATTCCCATAGATGCCCAGCATTAAAACACATGGCACAATGTGAGATTGGGTGCCAATATTTTCTAATTCCTGATTTTGATGGTAAAGCAAGTTAAATAAAATCCTTACTTTATATAATGGAGTTGGGAAGAAATATTTTTTTTTAAAAAAAAGTAAATATCACTTACAATTAAATAAAACTATTGCTTTGCATCAGTTGAAATCTGAGAAAGGTTTTCGCTGAAATAGCCATATATTGTGTAAGTAGAGACAAACAATGTTTATCTAAGGGATGAATCAAGCTCAATAATGACTACAAGCTGTTGATAGCCGTAAGGCTGAGAATGGTCAACACAAAGCTCTTTACCAGCTGGTGACTGAATGAAAGTGGGTGGATTTGGAAGCGTTTCCTTTTCCATAACTTAAATTTATCCCATAACACTGTGTTGTATATATGCTAACACTTCTGTTTTTATTATATAACAGACAATAAGTACACGGAAAGAAAGGAGAAAAATAATTACAGAAGGAACTGAAAATAGTTACAAAACATTGCACTAAATAACAACACTAAAAAGTTGTTCTAATTGGAACAGGAGTAGGCCATTCAGCCCTTCGAGGCTGTTCCGCAATTTAATTAAATCATGACTGATCTGTTCCTCAACTAATCCTTTCAATTCCAATTTCCTGCTTTCTCCCCATATCTCTTAATACCCTAACCTACCAAAAAATCTCAACAAAAGACATATGAGCTTGTGTTTTTATGTATTTCTGTAATTAAAAAATATTTCAATGGCTTTAGGTACCTATAATTTTTATCTCCCTAGTTATTAATTTACAGCTTGGAAATCTTATCATCAAAATAAGAGTTTATAAGAGAATCTAACATGAAGTTAACATGTTTAATTTGTACAAATGGATTTGGACATAGATATCTTACTTTCTGTCTCTCCAAATCTAAGTGGGAGCAAAAACCAAGAGGGAAGTTGTAGATAACATAATAATCCTTGCATTTTATATAGTGCCTTATCATGTTATGATATACAATACAAATTACATTTGTATAGTGCCTTTCGTGTCAGGAGGACATCCTAAGGTGCTGGACAAACATCTCAAAGTGCTTCACAGACTACACTGTAAAGTGAATTGACTATATAATTTGTGGGTGAAATGCAGCAACCAATTGGGCACAGCAGTGTCCCACAAACAGTCATGGATTTAGTGACCAAATTATTATTATTTTAATTAATTACATTTGTGCGACTCCCTGACGATTAAGCAGGGGAAACCCTCTTGGACTCAAGCGAGAGACTTACAATAAATGAAGAGCCACTGTAACATTTCAATTACAATTTAATTGTAGGGTAATTAAATATTTAGCACATTGTGCTATCTAGTGGTCAGCTGCAACATTGCTTCCACTTTCTTTTATTATGCAGCTACGTTTTAAACATTAATATTACTCTCCAAATATGTATGTATATACACATTTATATATACACACAGTAGATATATATGTCACATATTAAGCAATTTTCAATAACAACAAAGTGCATATATATATAATTATATTCTTTTCAATTCCAATTTCAGAATATATACTGCAAATTTGGATTTCTTACCGTCACCTCCCGCCTCCTTGGCTGGGTGTCAGACCACGCCACTATCAAGCACTCCGGGACGCTACCCTGCATGAAGGGCACTGTATAAATGCAAGTTGTTTTATATAGCACCTTTCACATCAGGAGGATGTCCCAAGGCACTGGAAAGTTGAGCTACAGTCCTGAGTTCGATTCCCGGCAGTGAAATATTGGGCAAGTTTCCTTACTCCACACACCTCTGCTTACCTAGCAGTAAGTAAGAACCCGGTTGTTTGTCGACTGGCGGATTGTTTTTCCAGGGGTAATAATTCCTTCAAAAAAATAATTTGGTCAACTCAATCCACGACTGTTTGTGGGACACTGCTGTGCGCAATTGGCTGCCGCGTTTTTCGCCCATGAAATATAGTCAATTCACTTTACAGTATATTCTGTGAAGCTCTTTGAGACGTCTCGAAGACATGATAAGGTGCTATGTCAAATGTAAGGATTATTATTATTTTCCTTAATACCTATTATATAAAAAGCCTTTTTTGTAACATTGATGTGTTCAACATATTCCACTGGACATTTGTGATATTATGTAAAATACAGCCCAAAATTCAACTTGTGCAAAAAGATATCCAACTGCCCAGGAGACTATGAGGCTGTTTGTCTTTCAGTTTTACCAGTTCAGAGTCTGCACTTCTGAATGCCATCAATAACTTCCTTTGAGCTGCCAACATTCATATAGTATTGTCCTAGCCTCTAGTGTTTTTTTCCTTTCCAAAGCAGACAAGAGAAGGGAGTTTCTCACGGTGTCCTGGTTCACATGCTCCCAAATAAAATTAGTCATGACTGTTTGTGGGACATTGCTGTGTGCAAATTGGCTGCAACATTTACCCAGAAAATACAGTCTTACCACTTTACAGTATATCCTGTTGAAGTGCTTTGAGACGTTTCCATGACTTGATAAGGCATAATACCAAATGCAAGGATCATTATATTTCAAATATTGGA